GTTTGAGCGTGGCCAGGGTGTGGGCACCGGCACGTAGACAGAGTGAGAATGTCAGTAGAAGGAATGCCCTGAGTTGTTTAGCTAACCTGTCATTGGCTGTTGATTGCAGCAGGAGAGATAGCCCTGAGCTGGTTAGCTATTCTTTAGCTGGCTGTGAAACCACAAGCCTGGACCTTGGAATGCTCTGCTGAACATTCTGCTTATTTCTTAGGAGGCAGTAATTTCTATCTCAGAGACCTGAGATTGTGAGGATGGTGATAGTCCCCAACAAAGATGCCTCCATAAGATCCAGCTATAAGACACTTTCCTAACTAATGATTGATATGGGAAGGTTCAGCCCACTGTGGGTGGGGTTATCCCTGGGTTTTATAAGAAAGCAGGGTGAGCAAGCCATGAGGAGCAAACCAGTGAGCAGCATCCTCCATGGCCTCCGCATCAGCTCCTGTCTCCAGGTTCCTGCCCTATTTGAGTTCCTGTCCTGACTTCCCTGGATGATGGACTATGATGTGCAAGTATAAGCCAAATAAACCCTTTCCTCCCCAACTTGCTTTTTGTTCGTGGTGTTTTCATTGTAGCAAGAGAAATCCTGACTAAGACACACATATATGTGTAGGGCAGGTCTGTGATTCCTAGCTTAGATGTCTGGATAGTGAGGCTGCCTGCCCATGTGCCCCCTAGGAGGCCTCTGGGCATAGTGTCTTCATCTCAAGCCAACAAACAAACAAACAAACAAACAAACAAAAAACCCAAAACAAAAAACAAAAAACAAAAGCAAAACAATACAAAAAAAAATCAACCAACCAACCAAACAAACAAACAAAAAACAAAACAAAAAACCCAAAACACCTCTACAGAGATGCCACAGTGGCTTAGATTGAGCCATGTATGGTGGCTCACCTGTCACTCCAGCACTTCAGGATTCTGGGGCAGGAGAATTGCTGTAAGTTTTAGGCAAGGCTGTGCTACCCAGGAGATACTTAACACTGGGAAGGCAGAAGCAGTAGGATCCGTGGTGCTTGGTGAGCTCTCATCAGGCACATGGGGTTGGGATAGGAGTGGCCATGTCTGTCTCCTCTGCTAGACCACTACTATGTGCCCCACCCATTCAAGTCAACTCTACCGAGGTTTGCTGACTAGACGGTGTGTGTGTGGGGGAGGGGTGTAGCAAGCCCAGTACTGAGGCAGGATGGGAAACGGATAGCAGGACTGATATGAATGAAACCCCAGGCCACCCTCTGAGGCTGTGCTCACTGCGCCTGGAGGCTAACGGAGACCCTGTCTCCACAAGGGAACAAACGACAGACACACAGACATTGCTGACGTAGGAACAAACACACATTTCTTTATTCATGTGCACTGAGGAAGTCTACTGGCTTCAGGTACATGGATTGAAGACTTTGTTATCTTTGGAAACTCTTTTTGTTTGGTTTGCTTTTTTGAGACACAGTCTTACCATATAGCCCAGGACAGACTTGAGTAAGGAATCCTGCCTCCCCATGCTGGAACCTGTCCCTGCCCCCTTTCCCCTTAGAAATGATATGGAATCCTCTTTTGGAAAAACAGTTGAAAATTATCTAGCACTCAAATACATCGTTACCAGAAAGGAAAACATTTATCTTCCATGGACTGTTTTGAATTTTTTGGTCTACTGAAAAATATTATTAAATCATACCTTTTTTATGTGCTTGTTTGCTATGCATGCGGGGACTCATAACATGTGGAGGAGAGCTAGAGTTAGTTTTCTCCTACCTTGTGGGTCCCAGGACCAGGCTCAAACCATCAGGCTTGGTGGCAAGCCCCTCTGCCCACTGAACCAAGCCACTGGCCCCTGACCATTTCTCCTTTGGTACCCAGAGGCAGGGAGTGTGGGAATGGACCAGCCTGTTGCAGAGCCATGGGGGGGGGCAATGCTATTCTGCCCTGGGGGAGCCTCTAGGACTGAAGGAAGCAGATCATGCCTGAGCCTTGGGGTCTACTGAGATGGATTTTCTTGGGACCAGCACACTTCCTCTTCTCTCTTCCCCCTGCCCTCTTTCCTCTCTCTACTTCACCCAGCTATATAGAGGATGCATTTTAAAGGGGCCACATAAAGCCAGAACAAGAATCCCTATCAGGAACCGAACAGGCCAGCATACTGATGTCAAACCTGCAGCCTCCACAGCTTGGAGACGTGGGTCTCTCTTGTCCAGATCATCCGAGACTGGAGCCCTGGCCTGTGTTGGTAGCAGCCCGCCAGACAGGTCTTGTTCTAAACACCCCTTGATACATGCCTAGGGCTATTGTGGAGAGGGCAAGTCTTGCATCAGCATCTGAACCCCAATTCTTAGAGGCTGGGGAACACAACCCTCGGTGTCACCCTGGAGCCTTGGGAACAAAAATCCACACCCACCGCTCTTTTATATCTGTTTTATTAGCAGCAATATATACAAAGTGGAAAATGATTTCATTTTTCTAGCTTAGAAAGTTTGCTTTTTTTTTTTTTTAAATTCTGTTTGATGATAAATGAAAAAGCAAGCATCCGAGAAGACGCCTACCTCTGTAGGTGCCGAGTGGCGTACACGACCGGACCTGGAGTACCATCTCACTGGGTCCTCATCCAAGATACAGAAAGGTTATGCCCAAAGGAGACAGCATTTTGCCTACGGTTTCTGAAGCTATCCATTGGTTTGTTGGAGTCCCTGGGGTGCCATCATTCTGGCTGTAACCCTTGTCTTTCTCCAGGGCTGCATGTGGAATTCCAGAGTTGTCCCCTGAGGTTTGTGAATTCTCCAAAGAGCTGGTTTCGAAGGCTCGGGTGGGATCACTTGGAAAGATGGCCCCCCCAGACAGAGGTCAGAATACTTACGCTGGCAAAGTGAGTCTACCGAAAAGGAAGCTAAACCGGGAGACTGAGCTCCAGGCGGAAGAGGGAGGAGCCAGGTAGAGCCTGCAGGGATCAGCATGAAGGATGCACACATTCTGGAAGCCTGAGCTTTCCCCACTGACATCAACGGGGAACTGCTTGTGGGAGGGCTCATGGATGTATCCAGCTCGAAAAATATTTAATCCCCATGGGTTCAAATTTCCATCTTGTAAAGACAGACAGGATGGGCCGTGATAAGATATATACCTTGTAGTATATATTCCGTGATGGGATATTTTGTATATATTCGGTATTGGTAGCATCATGTTGTTGTTTTCCCAAACCTTAACATGTTACAAATACAGAGTCAGGTATTTAAAAAAAAAAAAAAAAAAAAAAAAAAAAAACAGACACCATCACACCCTTCCAATCATTGCACATTGAGAGCTCACACAATCCAACTCTAGGCTAGAACACATTTTAAAACATGGTTACTGAAACTGTACCACCAAGACAGAACTAAGACATTGGTCTCCTGCAAAAAGACAAATCAACTTTTTTTTTTTTTTTTAAACCCACCCCAATAGCCAAGAGATGATCCAGGCATGACCTGGTCAGCTTTCGGGAGCGGGGTTAGAGGGGCCTTACACACGCTCTGACCGTATAGAAAGCAAGTACTTAGTTTCCACAGGGCCATAGAGTGGACTGAAATAAAACTGTAGGGACAGGGACAGCTCACAGGTGATGCAGGGCTGGGCTTGGAAGCATCTCAAATCGGTCCTGTTTCTGGGAGAGGTGTCACATTATTCATCGTGGGGTCTTTCCCCTAAAAGGTCCCTGCTCCCTAGATCCTGTAGTTTCTCCTCTGGTTCTTTTGTGGGTGGACGGGCTGGGCGCCCAGAAACCCCCAGCCACACTGTCCAAGCAGATGCATGCAGGGGCCTTTCCTGGAGGAAGATGAGTCTCCTCCTGTTCAACACATGTCCACTGCCCCTCATACCTGCTGCTCCCTAACACCTAAGCCCTGCACCTTCCTCCATGATTGTGTTTAGAAACTAAACGTCTGGATGGCCATGACCTCTGGTTCCACTGGACGGGGTGGGGGTGGGGTTGAAGGACCCCGATAGCAGAGTAGTAGATGAAGGCTGAGGAGGACTTGCCCTTTGGAAACATTTTGCCTTTACTGAGGTTCAAGCTGGACCTTGTGCCTTGTTCTCCTGGGCTACCCACCCTGTACACAGGGCATCTGCTTGGGCACTGATGCTCTCTACCCCAGACTCAGAGCCTCAGAGGCCAGGGAGAGGCTTCTGTCTCTTCAGCATCTCCCATGACGAGGAAAATGTGAGAACAAGGAGGGCTGGAGGTAACAGCGTCCCTACTTGAGTTCCACCTATGTCAAAGACATTCCAGAACCCCAGATGACAATCCCAGCTGGTCCCCCCTCCACCCTTCCCCAGCAGACCCTGTGACTTTTGTAGTACAAGCTGCCAGTGGATTGGTTACCCCAGCCAGCCCCAGGGTGACGATGCCAAGCTGAGATGGGCTCTAGTACGCAGCTTGCCTGGTATCCATGCCTCTCTGGAGTCCCCTTCCCCAGGATTCCCGTGCCTCATCCCCCACAGTCCTCCTTGCGGGCTGCTCACTCTTGAGAAGAGAGGGGCTATTTCCTCATGTGATCAGTATTGTCTGAGCCCAGGGGACACTTGGGAAATCTTTGCTGCCTCTGAAAGCCGTGCGAGGGAGAGGACAGGCTCCGACCTTTTAGACACTTACAAAATTGGAAAAGAGGACACAAAGGTTTTGTTTTGGAGGAGAAACAGCTGGGCTTAAGCACTGCAAGGCAGCCCTGTAAGAGACACTGTGATGACCCTAGGGCTTCCGTCTGTACCAAGTACGCGGTGGCCCGCTGCTGAAGGCCATGCAGCCCACGCGTGGCCCTGCTGATCCAACTTGATCTGCTCACCGAGTTGATACCTGCTGCCGGTCGCCTTTGTTTGCCTTGGGGAAGGAGGTTGTCATGTGACCTTGGGCTGCAGCCCGCAATGTACCAAACCTACCGATTTTCAATACCTTCAATTTTAAATATAGTAAGTAGTGCGAAGAAACAGTGAACATTTGAGTCAGAAGTGTAGAGGGAAAGATGGCTGCCCCGTCGGGCTTCAGCCCAGTGCCACGAGGTCTCTGATGGATTTCCAAGGAGGTCCCGACAGCTCATGTCTGCATGTCCGTCTCTAAAGTCCCCCTTTCCGGGGCAGCTCTTGTTAGATGGAGACTTCGTACTCTCTTGTTTCCTGCAGGACAGAGTAACACAGACGGGTCAAGTCCTGAGTGGCAGAGCAGCATCTCAAGGTGCCCAGCGCATTATACCTCTCTGTGGTGTCCCTGGCCTTGGCCTCATGGCTCTGCACTGTAGGTCTGCTCTGCCCATTCACTGTGTGTGTGTGTGTGTGTGTGTGTGTGTGTGTGTGTGTGTGTGTGGTGTGACACACATATGCAGGCTGGGGCATTTTCTGGCCTGACCTTCCACCAACACTGTGACCACAGAGGTGTAAAGGACAAGCCCCCCGCCGATGTCACTGATGTTAGCACTTCCCACGGTGTTAGGCAGACTAAGGAAATGTGTGCTCTGACTCTCAGGGAATTGGAACTCCTCCCTCTCCCCAGATCAATACGATAAACGGCGATCACATCAACACTTCCTGGCAGATGGGAGGTACCACGGGCAGAGTGTAAGGCACTTCCCATGGTCCCCACCTTCCAAAGCTCATGCCCGGGTCGGTGGGAGACGAGGGCAGGGCGGAGTGAGGGTGATTCCAGAGGCATCAAGCCAGACACGAAAGGAGCCAAGATCAGATGACCGGAAGGCTTCCCTAGGCTTCAGGGAACAAAACACACTGTGCAGAGAACCCCGGCATCACTCAAAGGACAAGTCAGAGGGCGGTCAATTCAACTCTGGCTCATTTCCAAGCTTGTTCATTTCTGTTGGTAGACTGCTTCTTTCCCTGTTACTAGCCACTCCGCTCTCTAAGTTGCCCTAAGCAACCATGGGAGCCAGGGTGGCATGGATCATTCCTTGGTTAAGCCTTGGTGAGCCTGTGGCTATGGCTTGTGAGCCCCCAGAGCAGAGTGTTTGTGTAGGAGATATTTCACACAGGAGATCAAAGGAGGAGGAAAGGGAGGGGGCAGGGCCGCGTGGACAAGGGACAGGTTTGGCAGGGAGGGTTATGTCATGATATGATGACTTGAGTGAGGGCAGAGCTGCCACAAAGCTCTAACCCTGGCGGCTCCCCATACGCATGCTTGGACCCCATCACAGGCCCCATCTGCATTTCCTGCAGTTCCTGCAGCTGCCATCTAACTTTCACGCACATCTATACCCCAGTTTTACAAACTCTTCCTCAAACGGTGTCTCCCCATCGTGCAGTCACAGAACCTGGCTGCTTTCCGTGGTCCCTCAGAGTGATAACTGATCATAATCGTGGACGCAGTTGATGGAGGCAGGAGGGCATGCAGGCTTAGGATGCCAAGTCGAGATGCTCTCCTTCCTCCTGGCTGGGTACAGACTTGTCCGAGTCGCTTTCATCTCTCTGTAAATCCACGTCCCCACAGGAAAGCGTCTGAGGGCCACATGCCTGTGTGGCCACACACTTGTGTGGATGCCTTCGTGCTTCGCCAGGTGTTGGAGCTCACTGGAGTGAGAGATCGTACCTGTAGCCAGCTTTTACCATTGTGGCTGCAGTTCCTGGTGTTACCGGAAGGTTCTTCCGGAGCTGAAAGGGCTCCGCCGCCTAGTGCGGACATAGTCACCCAGCACAGCGCTTGGGAGACAGCGGCCAGGCTGTGGTGCATAAGCCCAGCACACACAGGTATGCGTAGAGGACAGGGAATACTCCTGCCTTGCTGCCTCAACATCCACAGCAAGTCACACGAAGCCACTGCATACCTGGCAGCTCTAGTTTAACTCTTGAGGCCCCAAAGAGTGAGTGATCTGGGCCATCCATGTTCATGGGCAAGTGCTCTGAGGTTTTCCTGACAGCGAGGTCAGGGGACACTCTTTCTCAGATCACATGCCTGTCTGTCTGCGGGCGAGACATCAGTACCACGCCCAGTGTCCCACAGGAGCAGGCCCTGCAACATGCAGAATGGCCCGTGCTGCCTTTAAAGAGTGGGACTCCGTTAGACATGGCACCTTCCCCTCCAGCTTGGCTCTAATCACTGGCGAACAGGGCTGGCTTCTCCTAGCACCCCGCTCAGTAGGGGATTTAGCAGTGGCAAGGCAGGACTCTCCAGTGATCCCTCTGCCAGCCACGCTGAGGGAGAGGCAGAGCTTCCCAGGAGACCCGCGGCACCACTTACCCCAGTCTCATAGATGGGGTTGTCGAACTCAGTTTCCACGGTGATCTGGCTGTAGGGGTGGGAGTACATGAGGGGCAGGCGGAGGCTGGAGTATTGTCGGCACCTGCAGGACAGACAGCAGAGCTTGAGTTGCACCCCTGTCCTGCTGTCTGCCCCCCAAGGCTCTGCAGGAGTCTCTGTGAAAGGCACGGGGTTCACGGACACAGCTATGAGCCTGTGAGAGTCCCACTGAGGGCAAAGTACCCTCCGCTCATCACCCCACAGGGCTGTAGCGGGCCAGCCTCGCCACCTCCCTCCCTGGGAAGGAGGAGCCCACAGTGCTTTCCCTTGTGAAGTAACTTCTGCTGGACCACGCCTCATCACACACTGCACTGCAGAGTGCATGCATGCAGTCTGCCAGGGCCTCTCACGCGTCCGTCGATCTCTGCCTGCTGGCCCCCTAGTTCACTCATCACGTTAAAGCTTGTTCAAAGGCGGCACCCAACGCAGCCCCTCCTACCTACTCCACCCAAGCACGCAGCCTCTGTCCCAGAGCCTTCGCTCTCCCTCAAAGGCCTTCTTCTGTTGACCACCACAACCAGGCACTTGCTTTCCCTCTGTGCTTTGGAGACCGGCTACTTCCCCTCACCAGAGTCTGCTCTGCTCACTGGAGTGTTCACAGAGCCCAGAGGCTGCTGGCACACACGGCCCCAGCTCTGCAACCGGACAGCGGATGTGCCTATGACTGTTCTGGATGTGGCTTTCTGTCTATCCAGGGCAAGTGCTGTGACCTTCCCCAGGGACCATGGCTCATGACGGTGCATCTGCCAAGTGGCAGTGAACAGAGGAATGCACATCGCTGTGATATCGCAGGGGAACAGGGAGGCGGCGCCAAGATGCTTTCTGATTCTGGCCACAGCGCCCCACGTCACACGAGGCCACTATATCCAAGAGCCAGACAGAGATGTCGAGGCCCCAGAGGTGTGCAGTTCACAGCTGCACAACCCCGCCTACCTGGTGATGTAGATGTAGGCTCCTCCCAGTAGCAAGGAGATGAGAAGGACTGGAATGAAGATGGCCAGCGCCATGCTCCCACCTTCCAGCGAGGACTCTGCTGCCGTTTCTGCTACTGAGCACACAATCCACTGAGACCCTTGTCTCCCACCAGCTCCACACCCATGGGGAACCTGGCTCTCAAGCGGATGCCCCACCCCAGCTGACATCCCACAGCCTTAGACCCTGGAGAGTCATGGAGGGGTAGAGGCAGAGAAGAGAGGCTGGGTTGCTGACCCTTGCTAGGGATCCCAGAGTCACCATTGGTGATGGTGGGCTGAGGGTGGCTGAGAACCTGTACCATGGTCATTCCACGCCCATTGGAGGGCCAGGGAGAGGGCAGAAATCTGGTTAAAATTCAACTCTGGGGCGACTTGGACATAGCTGAGGAACAGTCTCACCTTACTCTCCGGCCAACCTCTGTGAGCAGCCGCACCAGGCTTGGGGCCCTTCTAGAGCTTGCCATGGGATGCTACATAGGGGTGGCTTGGGGCAGTTGCCCCCAGTGCATGTGGCAACTGCAAAAATCATGGCAGGTATCTTGGGAGCTGGGGGCACTAGCCCAGCACCACTTGAGGGTGAATTGTCTCCCTTTTCACATTGCATCTGGAAGCTTGACCTCCACTGCCATTATTCTGTGGTCCTTCAGCTTCCCGTCCGCCTGTAACCCATTATCCACCACCTGTGTGGGTGGGAATAACCAACCCCCATCTCCACAATGAGCATGCACAGCCAGGTCTCTGGCTTTGTTCACGCTTCCTGAGCACAGGGCCCTGGGTGGTGGTCTCACTGCACAGCCAGGGGCAGCGGGGGATCCCAGTCTGAGGGACACCGTGGGGCACCCTGCTTCCTATGAGCGGTTGACCCATTACTCTCCCAACACTTAATCTTTGTCCTCTGCTCTACGTGCTGCATTAAGTGAGCACCAGCTAATGACCCGTGACTCACACCACAGCCTGATACCCAGCCGTGTTGTCAGGAGGACACTAATGGTGCTAGAGACAACGGTAACGGCCGCCGTCCGTCCAACTGGCTAAGGCTTTTTCTAACCGAGACAAACAGGTCACTGTCATCTGTGTCCGTGAACCTGCACTGCACTGAGTGGACGTGGTGCACAAGGCAGGCTGGTGCATGTGTGGGAGGGTTCATCTTCACGGCTGCCCTGACTGGACCAGGGAGGCCTGTATGCCTTGGAGGCACACCTCTGGGTGTGAGGTATCTGGAAAGGTCTAAGTGAGGCGGGAAACCCACGCTGGCTGTGGCAGCTCCATCCCATGGGCTGCAGACGCTGACTGAACACAAAGGAGGAAAAGCAAGCGAGCTGGGCACCAGTGTTCACCCCCGCTTCCCGACTGTGGGTGCCGTGCAAGCAGCCGCCTCTTTCTCCTGCCATCACGCCTCCCCTTCCTCGACACCCCGGACTGGTGCGCCACAGTGATCACTTCCTGCCTTAAGCTGCCTTTGCCGGGTGTCTTGTTATAGCGAGGAGACAAGTCACTAAGACAAGGAAGGGACGACTCTCAAAACCGAGAGAATTAGGTTAGCTATGGTCATCTGCCCCACAAAGCACCCCCTGCAGAGGGGGAGGGGGCTGTGCTGAGGAGGGGAGGCAGAAAGGAGGCCCCAGCAGTCAGAGGACGCTCTGGCCAGGACGTGAGTGAGGCTGTTTTTGTCCTGGTGGCACCTGTGTGGCGGAAGGTGTGTGGCAGGGCGGGGACCTCTCAGGGTTCTCTGATTACATTGACACTGTTATGTCAGGTTATACTTGGGGATCTAGTTGAAAATGCTTTTGTTATTGTTTCTTCTCTCTGTGTGTGCAAGGGTGTGCATGTGTTCATATGTGGTGTGTGTGTGTGTGTGTGTGTGTGTGTGCGCGTGCGCGCCACATGAGTGCAGTTGCCCACAGAGGCCAGAGGAGACCGTTGGATTCTCCTGGAGCTGGGGTTACAGGTGGTTGTGAGCCGCCTGACGTGGGTGCTGGGAACAGAACTCAGATCCTCTGTGAGAGCAGCTCACTGTTAACTGCCTAGCCTTCTCTCCACCCCTGGCAGCTACTTTTGGGCGACCCCTGGAAAAGCTAATGACACAGCTGCCCAGGGTATCGGGACTTCCAAGACGGAGTGAAACTCACCTTCCAGCGCGTGCTCGAAACTGTCTTGATTAACTGAAACAGAAACCGGGAAGTAGCGTCAACACCAAGGGAGCTCAGTTTGCACAAAGAGAAGCCAGGGGGCCTACATCCGAAAGCCCAGAGTGCTCGGTGTAAGGGTGGCGCTGCTGGTGCTATGCAGGATGGCTCCCCCCACAGCACCCCCAAGACGGTGAGAGGAAAGAGGTGAGCAAATAGTCACAGCATCACAACGGTGTTGCCGTGGGTTCTGTTTTGTGCCAACAGTTCTTGCATACTCCCACCCAGCCCTTGCCAGTCTCCTTCGGCAGATGTAATTATTATTATCTGCATTTTGCAGATGAAGCAATGGGTTCACAGAACTGCAGAGTACTCCCTCATCACACAGCAGAGTCCTCCCCATCACACAGCAGTGAGTCCTCCCCATCACACAGCAGAGTCCTCCCTCACCCCCTCATCACACAGCAGTGAGTCCTCCCACACCACACAGCAGCGAGTCCTCCCTCATCCCCTCATCACACAGCAGGGAGTCCTCCCCATCACACAGCAGAGTCCCCTCATCACACAGCAGGGAGTCCTCCCCATCACACAGCAGAGGGTCCTCCCACACCACACAGCTTCTAAGCAGTGAGCACAGAATTCCAACCCTGCGGCTTCAGCTTCTCTCTTAACTTCTTTGCTTTTTTGTTTGTTTGTTTGCTTGCTTGCTCGTTTTGACACAGCCTCCTGTGCTGGCCTTGAACGCTCAGTGTCAGCCTCCCAGTTGCTGGAAAGATGGTTGTGTGACCCCCACACCGCCTCTAACTATTGGTCTTTTCCCGGGACCAACATTCCATATTGCTTCCAAGGAGGTGTGACTCAAGATTCCTGACACCGGCTGCAGCCGGGGTGAACCGGCTCCGGCTTTGAAAACACTGTCACCTAAGCCTCTGCGTTGCATCTGTATTTATTGACTGGGTTCTGCATTCTATAATAGATCATTCTCATAAGAGGGCTGGAGAGGTGGCTCAGAGGTTAAGAGCACTGACTACTCTTCCAAAGGTCCTGAGTTCAATCCCCAGCAACCACATGGTGGCTCACAACCATCTGTACTGAGATCTTGGTGCCCTCTTCTGGCCTGCAGACACTCATGCAGACAGAACACTGTACGTGCAATAAAAATAAGTAAATAAATTTAAAAAACATTCTCATAAGCTCACACTTCTCATGAAACCCTGAGCTCAGGTTCAAGGTACCAGGGACCCATGCTGGCCCAGCACTGACCTGCCCAGACCAGGGCACTCCAGAGTGAAGGTTTAAGTGGGAACTCTGCACTGATGGCGGCCAGGCCACGCTGGCCGCTCTGCATTGATGTTCTGCCAGGTCCCGGGACTCCTGATTACACTTCCACTAATTAAACTCACCACGGACCAGTTACAACAACCCCCGCTAAGACGCCAGCTAGCCGCGGTCCTCCAAATGTGGCCCCAGCTAGAGAATTAGTCCCCAGATCTATAGGTTGCTGTTGTTGGGGTGTGTGCTTCGGGCGGCGACTGGACTTGAGTGGCTCTGTGAGGGTTGGCATGCTCTCTCTCTCTCTCTGTCCCACCACGAGAGGGCCCTGCCGTGTCAACAGGCAGTGCGGCTCCCCGATGTGTGCAGAGCTCTGTTTTGGATTCTTTGGCCGCCACAACCCCGAACCAGAGTCCTCCATTCTTTACAAACTGTCTGGTCTCGGATGTTTTGTTATAGTAACAGAAAAAAAGGGGGGGGGGGACCAAGAATGGGTGTAGTGGTGCAGGCCTGCAGCCCCAGCGCTTGGGAGATGAAGCAGGAGGCTCGGGAGTTCAGGGCCAGCCTCGGCGGCTACAAAGGAAGCTCGAGGCTAGCCTGGGCTACACGAGACCCTGTCTCAAGAAACAAATGTGTGAACCAAAAGGGAGAAACACAGACCGGACAGGCACAGCTCTCGGTTTGGATCCCCGGAGCCGCAAAGCACAGCACCCTCACAGCAAGCCCGGCTTCTCCCGGAACCAGCCCTGACCCTCGGTCCCCGGGGTCCCTTTACCTTTACAGATGGGCAGGGGCCCGCTCCAATGGGACGGCTGTCCCAGAATACAGCGGATGGTCACTTCGCCCATGAGCTCGAAGCCCTCGTAGCACATGAAGGTGAGGGACTCTCCGGGCAGGTACAGCCGCTTGTACAGGATCTGGTACCCATTCTCAGGCAGTCCAGGGTTGTCACATGCCAGGGACTCCTCGGCTGCAACGAAGCCAGACACGGGCTCTGAGACTCTCTGTCAGACTCAGCACCAGTCTCTGGGTGACCTGGCCCCACCCTGCACCCCACATGGTTTCCCTTCATCATTCCCTCTCACATCTCTGGATACACACTACATGTGAGCACTCCAGGATGAATAGGGCTGTGGAATCAGGTAAAAAAACAAAAACAAACAACAACAACAAAAACAAAACCTCAGTTCTTTAATTTACTAGCTGTGTGGCTTCCAGAAAGCATTACACCCTCTCTGATCTTCGATTCCTCTCCCCGACCCCCAGCAAATGGGACTATGACTGCAGGACTCCATAGGGGAATGGGTGTAAGAGGTGGAGAATGTCCTCGCCATGTGGAGAGTGTTCAGTAAGTGATGGATCTCGGTGGAGATCGATTAAAAAGGCTGTCCACTCCTCCAGAGCCCATCTGGCACATCCAGGTCTGATCTAGGTCACTCATCATTTCTCCTGCAGGAATCTTTCGCCCCGCAGTGCCCACACTGAAAAACGCTGCATTGTTGAGGACGATTGTCCCGCCTGCCCGAGACTAGTCAGTGGAAGGAACCAAACGCCAAGAGCCTCGAGCGGCCGCAACCAATAGGTTCACACTGCCCCCTGGTGGCTGCTCCTGGGTACTGGCGATGCCAGTCCTGGGAGACCTAGGGTGCAACTTGCTGGTTGAGCCATTCGAGCCTGGGCGACAGCCAGCAACCATCGCTCCGCACCACAAATCCTCAAACATTTGCAAGAACATAAACCGTGGCGAACTCTTCACTAAGGTTACCGACTTAGCCGCGAACACCTGACCGACCTCTAGGGCTCCGCCCACCTGGCCGGAACCTACAGCTTCCGGAAGCCAGCTCCCGCTTGCAGTCTCTATGAACCCAGGGAAGGTGAGGGGTTCCCACAGGTGCGACTACTCTGTGAGGGATGGCTTATTCCGCGTTGTTTAACCCTGAGCAGACCACGCCCGTGTCCCTATTTCCCACTGGTGGACACGCGGCTAATGTGCCCTGAGTGTGTGAATCTGGCTGAGCATCACTCTTGGTCCTTGGGGCGGATACCTAGAAAAATGACCACTGGGTCCCAGGGTAGCCCCGAGTTTGACTTTTGAGGAACCCTACGCAGCCTTGGACATAGCTTTCCATACTATGTTCTCACTGACGATGCGTACAGGCCCCAGGGGCCCACAGAGCCCCGCCAGTCGGCCTCACTCGGCCTCAGGTGTTGTTTCCTGCACCAGCAGCTCGCCGGTTCGGAAAGATGAGAGGGGGCGGCGGGCTCCGTCAACAGCTTTAGGTGCCCCCAGGTGAGCAAACGCCTGAGGCAAGCCAGTGGCCTAGGCTTCCACGTGTAACTTGTCCTCTCAAACCCATGGTCCCCAGGCCCGGACTTAGAACTGGCCTGTGGGTACCCACAGGACCCGGAAGCATTTGATAGCTGCTCTCAGCTGCCCCCAGGGTCACTTCCTCCCCCCCCCCCCCGTGCCTTCCTCACTAAGCACGTGCAACTCGCAGCCTGAAGGGTACCCTCTCCGTTCCTTTGCTTTGTCACAGGCGTGTGCCCTCCATGCTCTGGGGAGTCCACCAGCCAGCCACACAGGTGGGAGGAGACCCCTTCCCGCGAGAGGCGGGGTTGCAGACCAGTGCCCTTCAAATCCGCCCCCGAGCCGAGCGGCTCATGAGAACCGGGCTTGGCCAATGCTATTGTCACAGGAGATGAAGGTCACCCGGAGACTGCTTGAGTTTGCTCTTGGCTCTGCGCGTAGTTTGAGACTTGCAGCCGAGTCCGCACTCATGCATGCCACAGCGCCTCCTGGGAAATATCCAAGACGGATGAGACCCGAGGCGCACACAGCAAGGGTGTTACACCCTGGGGAGCCAGCCTGGCCTTTTAAATTTAATTTAAGTTTCAGTTTATTTTCTGGGTCTCAAGTACTCCAATTAGACGTTTGGACTAGCGAGTACTTTCCAAGCATTTGAGTTCGTTTTTTTTAGTGACAGGGTCCCACTCTGTAGTCCAGGTTGGCCTTGAACTCACGAGCTTCCCGCTTGAGCCCCGCCCCAGGGAACAGAGGACGAGCATGTGCTGTGACTGTCCAGTCTAAATGTCAGTTCTGGTTTGCTTGGTCAGGTGACTAACTTCATGAAGCAAATTCATGAAGCTCTGTTGGCCAGAGGCCCTGCAGCCACTACCAGGTGTGAGCTCCTTGGCTTGGTAGGCAGCTGATGAGAACTCTGTCCGTGCCAGGTCTGTTCTGGATGCTGGCTGGAGTGGATGGAGGCAGTGAGCCGGTTTCTGTTCTGTTCCCTCAGCAGCCTTCAGCACCGAGGAGGATCTGGTCCCCATCCCCCCTGATGGTCCCACGCAATCTCTGTAGTACCCAGAAACGACCAGCAGATGGCAGTAGCACCCCACGAGCATTCTCTATCATCCTTTCCGGGAACAAATGACTCCACAGCCCTAACCCTGAGTGCTTGCTGCTTGCTGGGATCGCAGGTGTGGGCTGCCACGCTGGCTGCAGGGTGCTTTTCTGAAAGGTCCAGTGAGATCCACAGCTCACTTTGACGAATCTGTTGCTTGTTTTCTGACGCAGTCCCTGAGTGGCTCAGGAAGGAGGGAAGGAAGAGTCTGTTGGTCTCACCGTTGAGGGCGCAGTCAGCTGGGGTGAGGACAAGCTTGGCGGCAGGAGTGTGAGGCCGCAGCAGCAGGTCGCATGCGCCCACGGTCAGGAGGCAGAGACATGAAACCCCCTTTCCTAGTCAGCCCGTGGGATGGTACCGCCCGCGTCGAGGGTTCATAGTGACGGCGTCTTCTCTCTAGAAAAGCTGCACGCATACATCCAGAGGTGTGTCTCCTAGGCAAATTTGGTTCGATCCACAGCGGAGAGGTGACATCACAGTATGGTCAGTGGGTTGATTTGTCCCTCAGTTCATGTCAGAATTGTTTGGGAGTTCATTCTGGATAGATGATAGCCGCCCTAAGTCTCCAGGGTCATCGCAGTCAAGACCAAAATGCCTGTTCCATCTCTCCGCACCATCTTGCAGCCACAGCCTGCTTTGCACGGAGACTGCTACTGTGCAGCTCAGGCTGGCCTTGATCTTGCAATCCTCCTACCTCAGCAGCTCCGGGATTACCGGTGCACACCAACAACCCTAGACCTGCTTCCTCCCTGCTTAGCTGTGGCCAAAGAACCAACGGGTTATCCACCACAGTCGCTCAGCCAATAGCTGGCGGAGATAGGCATTGTGGGGTGGGGGCTTTGTATCCTTTGCCGACAGCTTGCAGCATGGCCTTGTTAGAGGCAAATAAACCAAGGCCGGGCACCTCATTTGTCAAGGGCCTCACGGGGAGGGAGTGGCTATGATCCCAGTCTCTGACCATCAAAAGTTACACCGGTTTTTCAGCCTCCCGCCCAAGGGACCCCTAGAAGGAGCTTTACCTCTGCCTCCCCCAGTGAGGCTGCTCCACCCCCCCCTCCCCCAGGTGCTCCCGGAGCTTTCTAGTACCCTAGCACCTGCTGTGACTTGTGAGCTCATTAGCCTAGGTGTCAGGGAGGCCGGGGCTCCGCTCAGCCCTGCGCCTGGCTTGGAGATCTCCAGGAACACTAGTCGCAGTGGGGGGACAGTGGAGGGGGGATGCTTGGGGATCTTTGGCTTTCACCTGGGGTGAGCTTTGGTTGCAAGAATGGATGTTTTGGGCACTCAGGTGCTGGGGGTTCACCTCACAGAGCCAGCTCCCCAGCCCCGACGCCCTCTTAACAGGTAAACAAGATAAGGAAGGGAGGGAAGGCTGGCTGGCACAGGGTTGACAGAGTTTCAGGGTTTACCCGAAAGCCTTTGCTAAGTGCCTGTCAGTGCCGGCTGCACGGGAGGCTCTGTCAGTACCGGCTGTCCCGGTGCACGGAGGTAACCGCACAAACAAGCATGCAATGTGATGCCTCCCCCAGGCTGGTGTCCTCGGTAGCTGGGGAAGCGAGCCCGAAGCAAAGGACTCACAGACGCAGTGGGGCAGACGAGATGTCCAGATGGGAGTTCCCGTCTCTCGGCTGTAGCAGGTGAGAAGCGAGCTCCCTTCCAGCACAAACCCGGGGCTGCAGGTATACTGGATGGTGGTGCCCACCAGCAGCACGGGGTCAGAGATGAGGCGGGTGGAGTGTTCCACCTCCCCGGGGTCGGTGCAGTACATGACTGTGGACAGAAGAACACAGGGATGCACGGGTCACCACGGGTCACCGAGATCCCCCACCCCCACCCCCAGGATCTAGAAAGCCTCCCAAGCACGCAGCAGCTTCCAACAGGTCAGGTGGGAAGAGAACTCGGTTTTGTTCCTGAATGTGCCCCTAGATTTTTCACCAGGCCCCCAAACTACATAAGGTATAAATCGTCACTGAGGAGGGTGAGATGGGCTGGGAGCACGGGTGGGGAACATTATGAGTGGGTGGGGAGCACTAAGAGTGGGTGGGGAGACTATGAGGAGGATGAGTGCTGTGAGGAGGGTGAGCACAGTGTGTGTGGGGGAAGTGAGCACAGGGGGGGGAGGGATGGGGAGCACTATGAATGGATGGGGAGCACTATGAATGGATGGGGAGCACTATGAATGGATGGGGAGCACTATGAATGGATGGGGAGCACTATGAATGGATGGGGAGCACTATGAATGGATGGGGAGCACTATGAATGGATGGGGAGCACTATGAGGAGGGGGAGCACAATGAGGAGGGGGAGCACAGGGGGGAGGGAAGGGCTCAGTTTGAGCATCTGTTCTGTGACATTCAGAGCGGTGGCCAGAGTGGGGGGGAAGGAAGCAAGGTTTGCCTCTGCTCCCCCTGTGATGCCCCACACTAGGAAACAAGCATCAGTTGCACTTTAATTAGATGAAATTACAGATGAAATACAGATGAAAAAGAAACAGTAAACTAATCAAAAAGGAAGGCAGCGAACACCTGGGTGACGAGAAGGGCGTCCACCACCCTCATCAGGGACAGTTTAAGCACGTTCATAACTGTCGCTATTTCTGCTTGCAAGCCACCTGTCTATCCACCCATCCATTGGCCCTCTGTCCATCTGTCCATTGGCTATCTATCCTGTCTGTGTATCTGTCCATTCATCCATCATTCATCTAGACAAAGTTTTGTGTAGATATAGAGACACAGTCATATGCCACATATGTAGTTATGCATTAGTTACCATATATATAGATGCACAATGGTGTATATAATACACACTATATGTTAACTCCGTCTCATCTGCATAAATATCCACATCTAGGAATGCACACACACATATCTGTCGACAGATATGAGCAGGCGTCTATCTATGCGTGGGAAGATGCTGAGAAATGTCTACCTCTTCACGGGCCAAACCTATCTGTGTCTATAAACCCATCCACCCGTCTGTCTGTCTGCCCACCTACCTGCCTACCCGTGTCCTGCTGAATGTACCAGATCCCACAGATGTCACACAAGTGCATGTGGCTGGCTGTGGTTCTTCAGCATCTCTCCATGTTGCCTGGTTGCTGTCTTTTTCCTTAGGTGGCCCCATCCCTGCTCTGCCCCTCCCCAACACCTTTGCCCTTTGCAACACTTGTCATTATTGAGCTGTTCTGATTCTAATCTTCTGGTGCAGGAACAGTAGACTGTCACTTGGAGTCCCTGCAACACAGGGTTTGGGTTGGGAGTTTGATGCAGGAGGTGGGTCTAAGTGGCCATTGGCCATCAGCAAGAAGCTAGCAGCTCCTCCCTGTCTTATCCCCTTTTAGGATGCCTGGCCCTGTGGCCCTGCACTCCTGGGGCAGCATCCTGGAGTCAGCAGGAAGGGGTCTGGGCTGCCTGTGGAGGGAACTTAGGCTGCAGATTCAGCATCGCTTTAGCACAGACTGGACATGCTCTCATCTGGCACGGTCCCGGCTGCTCCTACCTGAAACAGTCCCTCGGGTGACTTAGGGAGAAGTGAAAATGGCTCTTACTTTTTTCACAAAATGGGGGGTCACTGCTCCAACTCAGGTCCCACTGGCAGGTGAGGGTGTCGCTCCCCACGATGTCATAGCCTGGGTCGCACTGGTATGTGATCCGGGCGCCCCTGACCAGCTCTGTGTGGGAAGTGGTTTTCCAGCCGTTCTGGATCTCAGGCAAGTCTGAGCAGGAGTCATTCCGTGACACCTCTTTAAAACAAAACACTTTCCTTAGGCTTGGCAAAAGCAGCTTAAGGCTCAGAGTCAGCTGCACTGAGCCTGTGGAGGATCAGTTCACAGAAAGACAATAGCTTACCTCGGGTGAAAGCCGCTGATGGCAAATTTCCCAGCTCAAGCCCCACATTGCTATTGCTGGAAAACATTTTCCACAACCAGGGACACCCAAAGGCGTGGCTGAGCAGGGACCCTCTCCTCCTCCTACAGACCTGTCACTGAGGCAGTCCAAACTCCACTCTTAATGTCCCCACGTCAGACTGCACAGCGCGCAGATCCGAAACAGCTTTATATACATTTAGGAACAGCAGTGGCCTCCACTGTCTGAGGAAAAGCCACCCCGAGCAGCCTGCAGGGGCTTTCCCCAGGTTTTCAGGACAGTTTTATTTGGAGAAAGGCCCTCTCCCGGATGTCTGAAGGAAGGGACAGGGATGTTGCTTCTAGAGTTGTCTGGATGAGAGCAGGGGCCCCTGTTTTTAGGGCTTTGAAAAATCAGCCAAGCGCTGGATTTGGGAGTCAGCTGCACGTGCCGGAAGGTGGACGGGATGGAAGACGCAGAGATGGCACAGCCGGCTTTCTCTGGCTAAATGCCTCCAGGCGGAAAGGCTTGCCCACCTGACCCTCAGTGGGACCTGCCATGCCACACCCCGTGAAGGACTCTGTCCCCACTGTGGCAGGAGTCATGTTCAGAGTTTAATTAGTTGGCACCATTCCCTACCTGGCTGACCATGGCTGAGTTGCCTATACTTGCCATTCTTCCGTTTTCAGAGGCCACTACGGGGAAAACTGGAGTCAGCTTTTCCCCAGCAGGCAGCATGGGGGGGCCAAACTGCTCATCCCATGGGCACTTGTTAGCTGTATGAGCAAGGAGACCCAGACAACCTTCTCTCTCTCCCCCCCTCTCTCTTCTCTCCCTGTTTCTCTCTCTCTCTCTCCCCCCCTCTCCCTCCCTCTCTCTCTCCTCTCTCCCTCTCTGTCTCTCCCCTCTCCCCCTCTCTCTCCCCTCTCCCCCTCTCTCTCCCCTCTCCCCCTCTCTCCCCCCTCTCCACCTCCCCCCATCCGTTCTCTTCTACTTTCATGGAGTCTCATATTAGCCTGTGTCAGCTTGTAACTCGTATATCTGAAGGTGACCTTGAGCCCGTAATCTTCCTGAGTGCTGGAGTCACAGCTGTGCACCACCATGGGATGGAACCCAGGACTTTGTCTCCCTTTCTTAAACACACACACACACACACACACACACACACACACACACACACAGACAGACACTTTGCAGCCTTGGTTTGCCCGGAATTTGCTACACAGACCAGGCTGGCTGGTCTTGAACTCACAGAAATCCATGTGTGTCTGTCTCTTGAGTGCTAGCATTAAAAGCATATGCCATCATGCCTGGATGTTAGGATTTTGTGTATGTCAAGTCAGCACTCTGTAGACTGACCCAGAGCCCAGCCTGGTTCATTTTAAAGAAACTGCAGCCACATTTGAGATACACATTCAACTTCACTGTCGTCATCTGCAGAATGAGGGTCAAGAATCACACAGCAATGCGGGGGTTAACTAACATGCACATAGCCCTGAAAAAAAAAATGTGTGGGACCCTCTGTGTGTTTGCTTATTGGTCTATTATTAGCACTAAGGTTCTAAAATCATGAAGTCACATTCATGGTTAAACTAGAACCCGGCTTCAAGCAACCTCTGGGCAAAAGAAATGTATGGAGCATGCAGGGCCGTGTGCCAGTTTCTTGTGAACAGCGAAATCACCTATCAATCATGGCCTTTGGGCCAAGTGGGATCCTTCAGGCTTCTGTCCATTACTGCAGGGACACTGCCCCGTAGGTGGAGTTCACTTACTATCTTCTAACCATGAGGGGTGGACACATATGCACAACAAGACTTGTCAGTCCTGAATTGCCACAGGATGCTCGGCTTCATGCTCGGCTTCAAGTTCAGCGTACAAGACATTTAAGACATTGACACAGAGCATGGCCAGATGCTGGGTCACCTGGACCGGCCTTGGATGGAGTCAGAGCTTTGCCACTCAGCTCATACTGTTCTGGAGGTTGCCTCTGGCACCAGGGGGTAGAGAAAACGTAGGATGACTTCATCTTTCAGCAGGGAGGAAGGGGAAGTCTCTGGAGATAGACGGGAGCCAAGCCACCAGAACCCCTTCCTCCAAGGCTGCCAATCACAAGGGCGTCCATCTGTGCCCCCGCAAAAGAACTCAGGAGCAGTGATGCCCCCAGATGTTTGCAGCACAATGAAGAAAGAAAAAAAAAAAAGGGTCCAGGAAGCAGAATTCAGAGGATGGATGCCTTCCTTAGCCTCTTGGAAAGGGTAACAGGGGGGTGGGGTAGACAAGGGCAAAGGTCGCTCACCAGCTGGGAAGCCCAAAGCAACCACATTATCTGACAGGTACCAGGCTCCTGGGGCACTGGTGGTCAGAGGCAATGGTTTGTCGACTCAGATACCAGGAGAAGCACAGAAAGAAAATTGATGTTAAACAGAGACCAGGTATTTCCCAGGCCAACGATGGATGTGGAACTGTTATTCAACTCAAGGGGCTCTGTGGTAGAAATCGGGGGGCTTGGCAGCGTGAGTTCTCTGTTTCCCTGATGCATCTTGAAAATTAAGATTCCAAGCCAGTCTCTGGGAGGAGCCAGGATAGATTGGAACCACCAGCTTAACCTCGTTACCAAGATGTGTATGTGTCCCCACCATCCCGGACACCACAAGTTCAGTTAGTCATCCCTTCAGCCCCAGGTGCTCTGAGTCTACCAAGAACATGACAGAATGAGGGACTCCAAGAGCTGGGAATGGGTTACCCGGATGCCATCTCCAGGGGTCTGCCCCGACATACAAATCCCCCACCCTCGTGGATCCAGGGCCGCTTCTACCACGGTGCGACAGGGCTGTGGTTGCCCAAGTGTCTCTTCAGGGCTGGGGAAGCAGGATGTCATGGGGTTCTACGATCGTGACTGCTATGGATGGTGGTGGGCCGAGGGTGTGGCCCTGGAGGGATGTGGGGATGTGCTTGGAGCTGAGGCATGATGGGGAGCAGAGGTGAGGAAAGAAAAACAGCAAAGTCGTTTGCCCATTCCCTGGAAACGGACATTTATGCTGCTGATGGTGGCGGTGGAGATGGTGACGGATGCCGGTGATGTGTTGTGGCTATGGTATTGGTGGTTGTGTGGGTTGTGGTAGTTGTAGATGAGGGGTTGGTTTTGGTGACTGCGGTGGTGGTTAACTGTAGTTGTGGTGTTGTGGGTTGTGGCGGTAGGGATGGTGACGATGGTGGTGAGGATGAGGTTGATGTTGTTGGTCATGGCAATGGTGATGGTGGTGCCGACGGCGAGCGTGGTGGAAAGTGAGATGAGAAATGGCCTTGGGCCTGATCACAGAATGCTTCTCTTGCTTTGTTTTATGAAGAATTCATCAGTCACACTGAGAACTAAGGAAGATGGACCCTGCTTATGTGCCCAGGCCCTTAGGCACAGCTGTCCTGTGCAGTGACTTGGAAGGAGGGCTATCCTCAGGGAGCTTCAGGTCAGGGGACAGGGAGCAGACGAGACTGGGAAGCTGCAAACACAGTGGGAGTCATGGCTGGCAACCCAGGAGACGAGACGGACCTCAGTGCTATGAGGCTTCATTTGATAAGTGTTCGCAACCACTTCCTCAATGTTTCCACTTTGCTTTGAGGAGGGTGCTGAGAGCCCTCCACAACAGTGCTAGGGTATAAACCATGGTCCTTATGACTAGAGAGCCTCAAAACTACATGTGACAATTATGCCAATCCCGCCGGTCACTAAGCATCCACACGGAAGGAGGACCCACAAGAATCTCCCTCCAACACAAACAAGATTGATGGGTTGAAATACCTACCTATATAGTTCATGATAAATCCCTGGCCCTTGCCAAAGATGAGGCCGGCAGGATCCGAGTGGAACTGGATGGTGAGGTCCGGCGTGGAGGAGTATAGCTTCTGCGGGCTGCTGGTGCCGAAGTACTGGCCCAGGACGTGGGGCACAACCTCATCACCGTCATAGATGGTCAGGATGTCACTGTTGCTCAGGTTCAGGCTTGATGGGCAGAGAGAAGAGGAGGGAATCACTGCAGGCTTCTGTCTGTCTGTCTGCATAAACACCAAGTCACCTCTTCAGGGACACAGAATTCCTTCAGCCTTGCTGTGCGCCAGGCCCCAGGCTAGGAAGTGGGGCCGAGGTAGACCAGATGGCAAATGGGACCAGGACACACTGCTCCCTCCTATCAACATGACAAGCAGATCTATAGATGGCTGGGTTCTGGAAGAGAGCTTGTGAAATGTGAAGGCGGGGTTTAAATGAGTCCACGAGACCCAAGATAAACGACAAACAAGTATTTATTAGGGAAGCAGTTGCACAGATAATAGTAAATAACCGCAGATGCAGTCTGTGCCCTTCCGATGCTCTTACCACAACCCAAGAGAGCCTGAGCCAGCCCCTCCTCTACCTTATAGGGGGTCGCATCTGCACACCTGAAGCCACACTCCTAGTAGGTGGCCACCACGGCAAGTTTACTGGCAAAGAAAGATGCCACTATAGAAATGGCTCTCCCTGTCTGGGTCTCACTGCAAGGCCAAATCATGCACAGCAACAGGCCAGTTTCCCTGTCCCATTAACAACACCGTGGTACAGCGGTGTGCTGGGCATGGGGCTACATGCTGGCATGTGACATGGGACTGTCCCTCTTCTGCGATGCAGAAGATGCCGAGCAAAGGTGGTGAGGTCATCTGGAGCTGGTGTTGTCCTCCAGGCTCTGCTGACCATAGCCTGTCTGCTCCCAGGAGGAAAACAAAAACAAACAAACAACCAAACAAAAAACAAACCTGCTTCCTCTTATTCCCCAAATCAGCAGAGTTCTCCAATGTGTGCGGGAACGGTAAGGTGGGAACTGCACTCAAGCCTGTTAGTGATCCTTAGTAAGGGAGGGCACAAAGATCTGAATGCAGGACAAGGCCTTGCCACTCACACCGAGGACGGGGGTGGATGGTTGATGATGCAAAGGGCAGGCCTGAGCTCGACCTTCTGTGTCTGCCTGACCCTAGCTTGCTTGTACCATGTCCAACCTTTGGGCCTAGTCTTGCTCTTGTCCAGCCTGCTGAGTCTACTGAACCCTAGCTTGCTTGTACCATGTAAAACCTCTGGGTCTAGCCTGGATCACACACCCTTGCTCTTGTCCAGCCTGCTGTGTCTGCCTGACCCTATCCCAGGCTTGGGCCTGGTAGTCCATCCTGTGCACTAATCTAACCTGCTGAGATGGCAGTGCTCCCCAATTCCCAGGCATCATATCCACCTCCGGACCTAGCATGGGTCACACTTCTGTGCTCCACTTCAGTCTGGTGAATCATTAGATCTTAGCCCGCACATATCCAACCTCCAAACTTAGCCCAGGCCACTCATCTGTCTGGTGAGTCTCCAGACCCTAGGCAGCTTGCCTGCTTGCACCACCCCAACCTTAAGTCTATTGCACAGGTTGTATGTCAGCTTAGCTGAGTGTGTGCCCAAGATCCCACCCACATCTCCTTTCACACTCTCTGGCAGAGCTCAGGTAGCAAAACCTAAATAGATCCAACCATTTGTCCCAATGCATGCGTTCTCAGTCACCCCTTAACTGGAATCACCCCCATTCCTACAATCAAAATTACCATCAATTAACTAGAGGTCTGATTGATAGAGATCAACCAAGCTTGAGAAAAAAACAACAAAAACAAAAATCCACAAACAAACAAAACCAAGCTTGCCCTCCATAGAAGCTGCCTAAAATCTCACTTCAGATACACAACCAACGGACGTCTGTGTGTCCAGGTCTTAGCACAAAGACACGACTGTGAAGGGCCAGTGTCTCAGTCACTATACCCCCCCCCCCCCATCCACCACAGAATCATTCTCCAGTAAGAATCACCGGGGGTAAACTCCAGGACACAGAATTTGCAAGAACAGTCATAAAATTTAATCACACAACATAAGGAACCTAAAGAAAGGAATACACAGCTTAATGAATCTGATGTGATGTCCTAGAAAGTACAAACACACAGCTGAGTGAAACGATGAAGACAATTTAGGATTCGAAACCCAAACTGAATAAAGAGGTTGAAATAATGGAGAGACTCCAGCTGAAGTAATTGAAAAACCTCATTAACCTAATTAGAAAACGCGGTGGAAAGCCTTATAAACAGAACGGAGCAAGTAGAAGACAGTTATCAGGGTTTGAAGATAGAGTAGAGATTTTAGGTGCTCAGGCAAAGAGCATTAACAAGTTTAAAAACACTCAAAAGACATTTGCAGGAACTTCAAGACACTACAAAAAAGACAACATATTGGAATTACATGCACAGATGAAGAGGAATCCCAGGACAATGGCATAAACTAGATATCCAACAACAGCAAAGAAGAAAACTTCCCCAAACCACACACACACACACACACACACACACACACACACACACACACACACACAGCATCAAATATGCAGGACTAGAAAAGAAGCTCCCCATTGCACAGGATAGTTAAAACACACTAAAAATATGGAACCACGAGAGGGTATTGAAAACTGCAAGAGAAAAACCACGAGTCATATTTATAAAGGGAAACCCAGGAAAACAACAGATTTCTCAGTGGGAACATTAAAAGGCAGAATGGCCCGGGGCAATGTACTTTGAGTTCTGAATGATCACAGATGCCAACATAGACTACTGTAGCTAGAAAAAGCTATCTGACATAGCTGGAGGAAGAAAAAAAAAAAAAAAACAAACAAAAAAAAAAACAAAACAAAACAAAAAAAAAAAAAAAAAAAACACTTTCCAAAATGGTATGAACAGGCTGAAATAATTCGTGTCCACCAACCAGCTCTACAAGGAATACTGGACGCAGTACTCCGGACTGAACAGAGGAATAAGCATAGCCAGGACACTGTAGAAAGGAAACAAAAGAACAAGGCCTTTCCTCTCCTCCAACCCTTTTTTTTTTTTCTTTTCTTTTTAAAGAGAAGGAAGGTCTCACAATGTAGCCCTGGCTGGCCTTGAGCTCACAGAGATTATCTGTCTCTGCCTCCAGAGTAATAGAATTGGAGGTGTGTGCCACCATACCCAGCATCATATACCTTTCAATAAGAACTTCAAATACTAATGGCCTCAACTCCCTAATCGAAAGACACAGGTTGGCTGAATGTGTTAAGAAACGAAAATCTGTCTTCTGGAATCTACAAGATACTTACCTTGCCTCCAAAGGCAGGAACCGCCCTAAAGCAAAAGGGTGAACAAAAGTACTCCAAGCAAATGGGACTAGAAAAATAAGCAGGTGTTGCTATTTCACAAGAAAGATTTCAAACCGAAATGCGTTGGAAGAGACAGAGAAGGACACGTCATTTTATTAAGGGAATTAAACAAGAAGACAGTACCACCCTAAACATATCAGATTGGCTCCAACTCAGTAATTAGTAAGCAAGTAATTAACACCCCACTTTCTCCCATAGACGGGACATCTGAACCAAAAAAACACACAGAGAAACACCAGAATTAAATGGCATCATAATTTGTTGGACCCAACAGTTACCTACAGAACATTCCATTTAAACACTAAAGAATACACATTCTACTCAGCAGGCAAGCAAAACCTCTCTAAAACAGGACCCCATCATGGGACAGAAAATAAATCTTAACAAATTGAGGAGAACGGCAGTAACTCTGTGTTATTCTGTCTGTCTACAACGCTACATGCAAAGGTTAAAGTCAACGGCAAATGAATCTGCAGTAAAAACCCACGGAAATTAAGCCACACATTACTGAGTGATGGATGGGTTGGAGAAGGAAAAGAAATTTAAACTTTCCCGGAATTAAACAAAAATGAAAAAACAATGCAACAAAACCTCTGGGGCACACTGAAAGCAGTCCTAGGAGGGAAGTTTTTTAGCTCCAAGTGCTTACATCAAAAAGAAAAATCAGAAAGAGCACTAATGAATGACTTAATGATGCAGCTCCAGAATTTGGGGAAACAGGAACAAACCAAACACAAATCCAGGAGATGGGAAGAAATGAATGAAACAGAAACAAAGGGAACGGCAGGGAGAATCAATGAATCTAAGGGCCAGTGCTTTGAGAAGATAAACCACCCTTGATCCAACTAACCAAGAGGAAGAGAGAGAGGGAGGGAGGGGGAGGGAGAGGAAGGGAGGAAGGAATAGAGGCCACAAATTAACAGAATTGGAAATGAACAGGAAAACATTACGTTAGACACCAAAGAAATTCAAATTTCTGCAGGAGGAGACATTAAAAACCTGTATTCCCTTGAGTTAGAAAATCTACAAGAAATAGATGAATTTCTATGTTCATCCAAACTACCAAAGTTAAGCCAAGAAGAGATTAACAACCTAAACAACTGGAGAGGAGGTAGAAACAGTGAGGAAAGCCTTCTGGGAAAAAAAAAAAAAAAAGAAAAAGAAAAAGAAAAGAAAAGAAAGGAAGAGTCAGGCCCAGAGGGGTTCACAGTGGGATTTTACCAGATGTTCAGAAAGGATCTGTAAGCCATACTTCTTAAGTTAAAACACGAACCGCAAACAAAGAAATAAAAACCAGAAGGAATACCCCAACTCCTTCTATGAAGCCAATATCACTCCAATTCTAAAAACACGTAAAGACGCAACCAAATAGAGAAAGCTACAGACCAATATTACATAGATATAAAACATAGATATAAAAATCCACAATAGAATATCTTCATCATAGAATATCATCATACATACGTATGTATGTACGTACGTACATATATATATGTACACACACACACACACACACACACACACACACACACATATATATATATGATCACCCACCATGATCAAGTTGGCTTAGTCCAAGAGGTATATAGAGATGGCTCAACATACATAAACCAATAAATGTAACAGATCATACAAATGGGTTCAGTACAAAACTCACACGACCATCCAAATAGCTGTGGAAGAGAACTTTGACAAAAGCCGACATGTCTCCACAATAACATCCTAGAGAGACTAGATAAATGCTGTATATGACAAATGACCGCTATCATCATCCAGAGAAAAAGCTCTAAACGATTCCACTAACACCAGGATTGAGACAGGGCTGTCCTCGATCCTTGCTCTTTTTAATATAAAGCTTTAACCACCAACCAGTACAATAAGGCAAGAGAAGGAAATTAAAGGGATACAAACAGGAAAAGTCAAATTATCCCTATTTCTGGATGTTATATTGTACATGAATGATCCCAAAAAATTCCACCAGAAAGCTTCTAGAAACAAAGAAATGAACACTTCCAGCGAGGTGTCGGGGAATGGCATCAACGTACAAAACAAGGAAGCCTACGTATATGCCGATAATACAGGTTTTGGGAAAGGAACCATGGAAATACTGCCATTCATAACAGCCTCAAAAACATCAAGGGATAAATCTAATCGGGGAGTTGGAAAGCTTCTATAATGAACTCTTGTCTCTGATAAAAGAAATCGAGGAAGAGTCTAAAAAAAAAAAAAAAAAAAAAAAAAGGCATCCTGTGCTTAATATCTGACTCTCACTATACCAAAAGAAATGCACCCAAACGCACTGAGAAGGGAAGCCTGGAGCGGGAGCCTCGTGGCCGTTGGCCTCTTCCCTCCCTCCCAGGGCTCCTGCCCAGCCCACACAGCAAGGGAGGACGCTCATGCCACTGGGAAACCAGCAAGCACGAAGGGAGTCCCAATCCAGAGGAACAGACGCAGATTGCACCCAAACGCACTGCGAAGGGAAGCCAGGAGCCGGGAGCCTCGTGGCCATTGGCCCCTTCCCTCCCTCCCAGGGCTCCTGCCCAGCCCGCACAGCGAAGGTCGCGGGTGCAAAGGGTCTTCCTGGCTCTCACAGAGACACAACCGATGTGCCCGGCTGAGAAAGCCCAGCTGCTGTAGCTTTCCTTTGAAACTCGAAGTACACAAGCCTTTAGCTCCAAGGCCAGGCTCTATCCAGGCCCCGCCCTCACCCCCACTGCAGCCCCTGCCCACCCTCTGGTAAGTCCAGTCTTTCCTCCCTCCTGGCAGGTCCTTCCCTCCCTCCACAGGCCCCGCCCTCTCCCTACAAGCCCTGCCCCAAGATCCCACCCACCAGCCTGAGGACCCTCCCGTAGGCCACGCCCTCTCCCAGCAGACCCTTCCCTCCCTCCAGCAGGCCAAGCCCTTCCTCTCCGAAATTCACCTCCTAGGCCTTATAAAGCCCAGCGTCTGGAGTCCCCCCAGAACATTCCACATTCTGAGCCCTCATTGTGCAGAGAACCCATTTGGTTCCAAGACTTGGACAAAGGCGGTCCACTGCGCCAGAGCTGGGGCAATGTAGGGGAGGTGGTGACTGAGGGACCCAGAGAATGGATGGCTGGGATCACCCGAGGAGGTGAAGGGACTATGGAGTCCCAAGGTCAGGGTCACCCCAGCTGGAACACTAGGGGCAGGCGTGCCACCATCTTCCCCCAGAGAGATGGGGCTAGAACTTTGGGGCTCTCTGCACTTCCTGCTCAAGATGAGGCCGAGTTCCTGACCCCCCGCGAAAGGCGGTACAGGCCTCCCCTGGTCAAGAAGAGGGCCATGTGCGACTTCAGGGTGAGGTGGCCAGAGATAGTCTCCAAGGAACAGGAGACAGAGAGAGAGGACCTGCCCCGGCCCGGGCTGCATCCCCTTGACAGGGTCGGCGACTTAAGCCCTTGCTCCTCAGTTGGCAGCATCAGCCTCAAACCGCAGGACAGCAGCCACGGTGATTTCCAGGGTTCCCAAGTATCCCTCACCCACCTCCCGGAGACGCTGGCAATGTCTCCCTACATGAAGATTCTCAACAACTATCTGAAGCCACAGCTGATGACTCGGCTGGAGAAGAGGGTGAGGAGGAAGACTTTGGTGGCCATGAACCAGATGGAGCAGGAGATGGAAGCTGTTAAATTACGTAGGGAAGTGCTGCTGAGGGACGCTAGGGAGCTGCAGGATGAAAGGGCATGCGAGGAAGCAGAGAACAAGCCCCTCGTGGACTACCTTAGGATGAAAAACCAGAGAGCCCAGGAGAAATACAACTTCCTGTGGAAAGATTACATCCAGCAGTGTCAGGAGATAGAGAACAGGAGGCGAGAACTGGTCTCTGCCTTCGCCTCCCGCACCGACGACCTCCGGAAGCGGCTGTCGCAGGGCAAGAAGATGGAGGTCGGGTTGAGGAAGAAGCGGAGGGCCCTGGATCCCATTGCACAGATAAAGGAGAGCCAGGGCCGGGAAAAAGAGGCCTTAGAGCAGGAGGAAGCCAGCATAGTGGCCGACATCCCCTTCATGGACCGGGAGGCACACTTGCAATTCCTGAAGGAAAAAGCCGCCCTGCAGAAGCAAGTGGAGGAGCTGAACCTGCTGGAGTCAGGCGAGGGCATCACCAGGGAGCTGAAGAAGAAGGCCAAGGCCTTGGCGGCTATGGTCAAGCAGGCTCACAAGGACTTCTGTCAGGGTATCAACGCCGAGAACCGGCGCCTGCGAACACAGCTCCAGCAGCTGGATCGGGAATTCCGTGAGCTGCAAATCAGAAAGGAGGAGCTGGAACAGGGAAAGCAGCGGTGGAAAGAGCAGCAGTGGTACCTGGAGGCCCTGGCCCGGGGGCGGCAGCGCCTGCAGCGGCGGGAGTTCGGCCCCCCCAAACCGCAGGCTGCTCCCCACCCAACCCGGGGCAGACTACTGGAGGCCAGGCTGAAAACCAATCCCAAGTAATGGCTGCCACGTCCCAGGAAGCAGGCCGGAGCTGAAGTTGGGGGTAGCACACAAGAAATGAAGATGCTATCTATCAGGATAAAGCAAAGGGGACAGAAATCCCAAGGGGATGGAGGGCGGGGCTTCTCCGAGGGCGGAGGGATCCTGGCCTGTCTCTCAGGCTTGGTCCCCTCACCCCAGCTGAAAGGGCTATCCTAACCCACGGAAAGCTTCACAGCTTTCGGGAAACTTTGTCTTTAGACTCTGTCCCTTCCATGACAACGCGTTCCCTGTTGTGGTGGAGACTCTGGTGCTCAACCCCGCTCAAGCGTGCACTTCATGACAACAGGCGTGTTTGTAACCGGCACCTTCCACACAGCCCCCATCTCTCAGTGGTAGGGCTGGTGTCTTAGGTGGGTGCTGGGAGCCATTTGGGGAACGGGTTCTTTGCATTTGTGCATGGCTGAGGCTGGATTGGTCTGCAGAGCTGTGGGTCGTGATGTGGCGTAGGGCCCTGGGTTTGGGCTGTGTGCACCTGCGTGCCAAAACATACACAGCTCTCTCAGTCCTGGGCATTGCATCAGGCATTACATTGTAGAATTTTAAGGTTTACTTAGCTGTAAAATGAGCTCATTTAAAACTGTGCTGAAAATGAATGGCCTTATGTACCTTTGGCTTACAGATTTACCCTGCACGTGAAATGCTTTGTTCAAACAGTTACTGAGAAATAAAAGCCTGCCCGTGATTGTTCAAAATAAAAGCCTGTTTTATCATTACCGAAGCACAGGGCTCCTTCCTCTCATGTAGAACTGGTACCTGTGGGGGATTTCAATTGAAATTGATTTGCACCCTTGAAGACAAGTCATGCATGACTGTCCAGGATCCACCTGCTTGCTTGAGCCCTCACCTAGCTCTTTCGGGAGCCATGGATGTGTTTGGAGCTCAAGAACTCTACCTAAAAGACTTCGCCTGGTTCCCTCCTCCTGGCTACTTGGAAACAGGGGGCAGGAATCTGGGACCTACATCCTGAGGCAATTGCAAGGCAGACAGAGAGTTCTGTTAGGACAGGCCCGCTGGAGATGGTGCTCAGGAAATGGGTGGACATGATGAGGGTAACACGGCTAAGCCTTTGGGAGGGAAGACAGGGAGAGGCTGATTTCATGGACAGGTGTGGGGGTGGAGATCCTTATAGAGTCTTTGCCTTTGAACTCTGGGACATGTGGATGCGTTGCCTCTTCAACAAGGACGCAAACAGCCCACGAGAAGGTCATGGTTCTCTCCCTGTGGTCCAGTGTGAGGTGAGGTCTAGACATGGTGAAGATTTTCATTTACCAGCCCAGCTCTGGGAACAGAATTCTCCCCATTGCCAGCAGAGGGCAGTGTTCGAGCTTCCCACCCCAGCCAGGTGTGGAGCCTGGGTATGGGAACATGCCTTCCATGAGGGTTTGTTTTGTTTTGCTTTGTTTTTCTCTGTGTGGCACTTGCTCTGTAGACCAGGCTGGCCTCAAACTCACAGAGATCCTCTTGTGCTGGGTTTAAAGGCGTGCACCACCACTGCCCGGCCTGTCCTCAACGGTCTTTGCAACTATGCAGGTGGAGTTTGCCTTCTGCAGCCTGCACAGGAAGGAATGACAATCCAGCCATCCGTCTCCCTTGATCCCTTCCAGACAAGTGTTGGGCCCTTACGTAGACATCATGCCCTTGAAAGGTTGTCCAAGAGACATTTGCAAGATGGCTTAGGCGGGCAAACATATGGAAAACCTCCAGAGCTTATGCGCTTATTTAAATGTGAATTATATATGTGCATACACACGACTCATCTGTCAACCTGCTGATTTCAAGTGCAGAGGCAAGTCCATTTATACACAGCCTCTAGACATTCAAAAGGCAGCTGGCAATAGAATGAAAATAATAAAAACCATCATCCCCCCGCCCACCCCCAGAACAGCCCATTTCCTAGTCCATTCTCCAGTGAGGTCCGGAGTTGGGTCTTGGCCACTTCTGTTTTGTCAAATGTCCTCTGCAGAGGACTCTTCAAGGTCCCAGATCTGCCTCCGGCCTTCTGCAGTGTGCTAGAATGGGTGCCTCTTTTGTCTCATGGGTTAAGAAGGGACATGGTCTATAGTGAGATAGTTCTGTGGCACTGACCACGCCCATTGGGGGTGGAGCCATGGGCGGAAGTGACCTGAGGAAGGAGGTCAGAGGGGGCCAGGAAAGGCGCTCTCTTTCTGGCGTGACTCGGACAGGAGAGGATCGGGTTGAATTTCCGGGTGTTCATCTGTCTAGGTTGTAAGTTATTTCTCCCTGAATAAACATCTATTTGGCCTATTTGTTTATCCTGATCCTTATTTACCGCGATAACGGTCCATCTTGACTAGGAAGCATGGCAGCAGAATTGTGTATCATCTGGCCACACAGAGTCTGCGCTCGGGAAGCAGAGTGTGGACAGGAAATGGCTGACTATAAAAATCTCAAAACCCACCCCCAGGGACTTTGTCCACTTCCTGAAGGCACCACTACCCTCCAAAATATCACTAGCAGTTGGGGACCACATAGCCAAACACACGGATCTGTGGGGACCATCTCACAATCACGCCACAACATGCTCACCACCGGGAGCCTTCATGAGGTTTCTCTCACAATGCCGTTCCTGTTATCCTGTGCGGAGCGGGTGGTGTGTGTCTTTGGACGGTCCCACACCTCACATTTTTTTTCCTGTCACTGGGTGGTACCTGCTGTGTGCCCCCCCCCCCCCCCCCGTCATTGAAGACGAAGGTCAGAGTATCAGCCAAGCCACCGATCCTGTTCTCAGGACATGGGTGGGCAAAATGCAGCCATGTTGCACAGGTGACCTCTAGCCCAGTTCCCATGCAGCTCTTTGAGGCGGCACTGTGTGGCAGGCCTGGAGTCTCTGAAAACTCTGAACAGGATGTAGGTGAGACAGCAGCCCCGTTGTAGCAGGAGCTCCGGCATTTGGGAGACGCCAGTACTGTATGATAACCACAGGAGCAGCAGCCGGTGTGGAGTGTGGCTAACCAGAGCATAGAAGACAAACTCTGTGTGCTGCCGCGGGCGGAGCCGGAGAACTGCCCCAGGCCCCTTTGGAGGAGCCCAGCAGACTGCCAGTGAACCCCGGGTCACGTCTCTGGCTCCCCTCTTGCCATTGGGTCACCGAGATTACAGAAGCATGCTGCCACGCCTGGCTTTATGTCAATTCTGGGAATTGAAGTTGGATCCTCACCTTTGTGCAGCAGGTACCTCCCCCCCCCCAGTTGTCTCTCCGGGCACTTAGTAATGTAACTTTCTCCAGTACGAGCGAGTGAGCGAGGTACCAGAAAGGAGTTAACCACCGCCTAGAGCAAAGGACTCACACAGGAGGCCGGCAGAAGCTTGACCACAGCCAGCCTTGGCTTCCTCTGCCTCTGCCCTTTGCATGCCGTCACGGTCTGGCCCTGCAGCGCTGGGGGTCATAGTTAGCTTAGCTCCTTTCTAACGTTAGTACAGGGAAACATGTAGCCGCGGAACATTTGCGGGAAGAGGAGCTGGGGTGGCAACGTTCAGTTCAGCTGCCCGAATAACTAGGGGAGAGAGAGAGAGAACCTGACTATTGTGATGCCCCACCCAAAGCTGGTGCCACAGTTCGGCCGTGGGAAAGGACTCTGAGTTAATGGTTTGAGCTCTGTCCTGCATGGACTTCGAGATGGAGATAAAATGTAATGCGGTGCCAAGCTGAAGGTTAAATGAGTATTTCCTGCACAGCATGGATGAAAGAATATCCCACCTTTCCTCCATCCTTAGCCAGGCTGAGATGCCCGCAGATGTGGCCAGTTGGAGCTGGACAGAGCTGCACCTCTGGGAGGCTTCCAAAGGAGAGGAGGTCAGAAGCAGAAATGGGGTGGGGTGGTCCACAATGACTTATTGGGTAGGGCTTGAAGCTGGATGGTACTCCTTTCAAGAAAGCAAGAACCTGGGAGTCAAATTTTCCTTCTCCCACCGAAGCTCGGTGAGTTTGCCTGGTAATGTCTTCAGGGAAATGTTCTCATAAGTAGAATTATGTGTTTGTAACTTATCACAAGAACAACAGGGAGCCAGAGAAGGCTTCTGAGAGCTGTGTGTGTATCTGTGTGTGTGTGTTTAACTTATGTCTGAGTGCACGTGTGTGCACATGTTTGCGTTCTCATGTGTAGGATAGAGGTTGATATCATGTGTCTTCCTCAACTGCTCTCCATCTTAAATATTGAAGCTGAGTCTTTCCTCGGTTAGTCAGTTTGCCTTAGGGACCCTGTCTGTCCCTACCTAGTGGCATGCTCATGACCTTAGTACTGGGATTACAGGTGGGCTGCCATGCCCAGGTGGCGTTCACATGAGTGCAGGAGATCTGAACTCAGATCCTCATGCTTTTGAGGCAAGCCCCACTGGACCAACTTCTCAGCCCCCCATGCCATTCTAGAGTGGAGTCTTCTCTCAGTTAAGAGGGTCCCAGAGATGACCCCCATTATTGACCCTTTCTTCGACTGATGCTCCACGCTGGTCTCTAGATGAGGGTAGACTGATGGGGGATGTCCTTCTGTATATATGTTTCTGTTATTGGTTGATGAATAAAACACAGATTGGCCAGGCAGGAAGATAGGCGGGGCTAGGGGACCAGGAGAATTCTGGGAAAGGTAGGCAGAGGGATACGGTATAGATGCCATGTTGCCGAAGGACTAACATGCCAGATTACAGGTGAGCCACATCCTCTCTGCAATACATAGATTAACAGATATGGGTTAATAATTTAGAGAGAGCTAGCCAGTGAGAAATCCTAGTCATCGGCCAACAGTTTTATAGTTAATATAAGTCTCTGTGTGCTTATTTGGGGCTGAGAAGGACGGCAGGATCTGGCGGGACTAAAAAGAACCTACAGCAGGGGTAGACTTCCCTAAACGGACCACCCTCCCTCGCTCCCAGCTTGCATGGGTGCTGTCTTTGCTGCTGGAGCGCGTGGCCTCTCTCTCCTCACCCGCTCTCCTCTCCTTTCACCCTTTCATGGGGAAACACTTCCTCTTAGCCCCCTTGATTCGCCCCCCTCCAGTCTCCCTAGCTGCCCATCCACCATTTAATAACTTATCACTCTGTGAAAGGCCCGCCCCCAGGAGTGGTAGACAGGGATGTCCCATGACTCCCACTGAAGATTAAGGAAAGAAGAGAGAGTCAGGGAGAAAGCTTGGGTCATATGGCTGGGAAGAAAAGGAGGTGGAATTCTTTCCCTGGCCCATGAGGACCAGCTATTCAGGATCTGAGGGGCTTTTGGCTCAGCTGGAACAGGGAGGCCAAGGCCAAGCTCCCGGGTCAGCTTTACATGACAGTCCAGTCACACACCACATGCACGCATGCACACACACACACACACACCTGAGGAGTAATAGAGGATCCAGGAATGAACCCACGCAGTGACAGCATCCACATGGTCTTAGACAAAGCTGCCCAAATCAGACACTGGAAAGGAAAGCAATCTTTCACACACAGTGCTGGGGAAAACTATGGGTCTATGCCACCCTCAAGAAACAAACAAACAACCCCCCCCAAACAAACAAACAAACAAAAACCCCTGATTCAGCAAGGATCAGAAACTTCACTCTAAAACCAGAAATTACAATGGTTAGAGGGAATGGAAGAAAATACCCCAACATCCTGGAACAGGAAAGGCTTTCCGAGGGCGTCCAGCGACCCAGGGAAAAGCAGGAAGAACCAAGGGACTGGACTGCATGGAATTTGAAAACAAGAGACACCACCAGCAGAACTAAGGGATGGATGACCGTCAGAGTGGTGGGTCTCAGCCAATGTCACATCAGGATTGATTACTAGTGTCTGCAAAGACCATGGGAAAGGAACAGCCCCCAATAGCCTTATCAATCAGTGAGCACATGAACCAAGCAGACAGTCCTCCGAAAACAAACACGGGCAATAGAGACAAAGAAAACATTCAGCGTGCGTCCTTAGTCCCGAAGGACAGACAGATGAGAAGCCCCTCTCACCCAAGTCAGGGTGACCACACAGGCTGATAGGGATGTGGGAAAGCAAAGCCTAGTCATCGCAGGTGGCCGTGGCACTCGGGCAACCATGGGTCTCCAGAAACCCAAAACTGAATCCCTGACAGTTTTCTGGGTAGATGCCAAATGACCTAAGTCAGCCTTGTACAGAGAGCTCAGGCATCCAGGCCTGTTGCTATTCACGATGACAGAGTGATGCGGCTAGCTTTGATATCTATGGACAGATATGTGGATAAAGAAAACGTGGCCTGTTTACACAACGAGTTGTGTTCAGCCGTAAAGAAAAACAAACAAAATTACGCCGTTTGCAAGAAAATAGATGGAGTTGGAGACCATCATGTTAAGCAAAATAGCCAAACTCAGACAAATGCGACATCTTCCCTGTATGCAAAATCTAGTTTTTTTTTTTTTTTAAACATAAGGGGGCTTTTGAGGGGAGCTGGAAGAATGGAAGGGGCAGAGCAGGGCGTGGGGATGCAGCTGATCAAATCATACATGATACCGCGACAAAACCCACAAAACCCATCAGTCACCTTGCACAATGACTACACACTACAAAGACTGCACATTACAAAGGTAGCTACTGGACATGTGGTACCCGTCTGCTGCTTGCAGAGCCAGAGGCTTTTGGACTCCCAGCCACCTGAGACTTCCAGAAAGGCCTTTTCTCCAGACACCACCATCTGTCCCTGTCCCCATCTCACCGAGGACAGTGGGAGTAGGCGGCTGAGAGGCACCCAGAGTTCACCTCTCTCTTACCTCCAGAAGTCCTTGGAAGCTGCCCTCCAGGCAGGGCCATGACCTCAGATACACACACTCAGAGCTGACACCTTCCTTCTGGGTTCAGTGCTGCCCTCCTGGGGAGCTGGGGGCCGTGTTCTGGATGGACACACTGTGGTGGGTGCCCGGGGAGTGTGGGAAGGAGCCTAGGGCAGCAAACCCTAGCAGCCCATTCAGTAAACATTTTCACCCATTGTTACTTCCTAGACCAAGGTCTGGCGAGATAAGACCAGACCCTCACTGACAGGGACATTTGTACTGGCTGCCAAATGCAGGCAAGGAATAACTATAGTGTGGAGGGGGTGGGGTGGGGGTGGGGGTGGGGTGGGGTGGGGGAGGGGGGTGGGAGGGTACACGGCACAGCACCCTTTGTCCCTGTCCACATTGGCCATTTGGTCATTCAAAAATTGGGGGCTGGCAAGGTAGCTTGGTACGTAAAGGCACCCGACGCCGAGTCCGACAAGCCCAGTTTGAGTCCTGGGACCCACTGGTAGGAGAGTTGACTACAGGTTGTGCTATGACTGCCCTACCCATGCTGTGACACACACACCCTGGCCTGCACTCACAGTAGATACGTAAATCAATAATAGAAAGAAAATAAAAGGAGCGTTGCACGCCTCATCTTTACCCTGAGCTCTGCTGAGTGAGCCTTCTTCCCTTCCTTCTTTATGTCCAATGCCCAGTGGCCATGACCTTCCGTCCCCTGTGCTATGAGCTGAAGTCACACGTGTGATTATCTGTGTCCACCCTCCCCGAACATCAGCCTCCTTGGCAGAATGAATTCATGAGAACAGGGACCGCTCTCTCTGTAGGCTGCTGGTTGTGTTGCTGTGGCAACCCCAGGGCTCTGCAGCTCCCTGGCATGTACTAGGCACTCAGTTAATCCTGGCCCGAAACAACAAAGCAGAAACCAGCCCCTCCCCACCCGCCTGCTGCTGCGGTGGGCCTTGGTGGAGGGAGGGCGCCCCGGACACTCACAACTGGATGTCCAAGAAGATCCGTTTCTCCTCCCCCACGTGGATCTTCCAAACACAGTCTTCGCCTTCTGCGTAGGGCTCAGGCCAGTTTGGAGACAGCACCACTCCAGCCACTGCAGAGAGTTCCCCGCCACACATGGCTGTAACGGATGGACAGACGGATGGACAGACATACAGACAGACAGGAAGACATTGTTGTGAGGAAGCAGAGAGAGAGAAAGAGAGAGAGAGAGAGAGAGAGAGAGCATAGTGGTTGGGAGTGCGGGGGATGAAGCTGGCATCTGTGGGTCCCTGTGCAACGTGACTGTGCGTCCACATGGGGTGGAGTCGGGGGGGGGGGCAGCATGTGCGTGTATGTACATGAACATGTGTGCACCTGTACCCATGAGCACGTGTGAGCATTCATGTGAGTTTGCGTGTGTGCGTGTTGTGCATGTGTGTGCAGACAGAGGCTACTGGGCCCATCTGCATCTCTGAGAGTCTTCCCCACTGAGGATTGGTCACACTGTTCTGCCAGCTTTAGATGAAGTGTGTATGGTCTCATAGCATCAGTTTCCTTCCTTGTGTGGTCAGGGAACGCCCTTGCTGGCCCCCACTGACTCATGATAGAACGTAACCAAGCTCGCCACACTAGCTTGCAGCACCTTCCCCGGCCCCAGCGAATGCCCAGGTGGCCACGAGGGTCAAGGTTCTGAGAGATTCAGCCTGCACCAGGAGCCGAGATGTGGAGGCTCTGCTTTCTCCCTTCCGTTCTATTTCCCGCCTTGGAAGGTTCTCAGCACGGCAGAGGCTGGAGCCTCAATAAATCCCTCCCTGTTAATGTAGCAGTTTAATTCAGAGGCCAGTCCTTTGCCAGGGCAAGGCCGTGGCTTCATGCCAACTGCCAGGGGGTTTCCAGGAGCGAGGGCACCCTTTAGTTATCCACATGCAGGGGCTGGGGAGCCGATGTGCTTGAGGGTTGTCATGGCCAACATTGTGCAGGCTCTGAGCACAGGGGGGCAAAGCCCACTGTCTCTTCCAGTGACCCTAGAATGTTCTTTAGCATGTCTGACTCATGTATGTGGCTGCAGAGAGGGCATTGCCATGAGGCATATGCAACCCTCAGTGGGCTGGTGGTCATCCATGAGACCCACAGCTGCCGTGTGCTGATGGCTGAGTTGTGCACCGTAGCGGCAAATGCAGGAGGGGGTATGTAGGAGCCGACACCCACACAGGGCTCTCCTGGGGGAGCAGCTGTGCCCTGCAGGCCTGGGCCCTGCAGGAGGGAGCAGCTCCTAAAATGGACCAATTGTGACTCCCCAAGAGCCAGTCGCAACTGGATCCAGAGGACCATTTTTCTGGAAAGGGTCTCTCATCTTAAAATCAGTGTGTGATGAGGCCACACCTTCCAGGCTGGGGGTGGGGCTTGCTTTTGCAGCCAGGTAGAGGCCCTGGTGTTCCGGTGTTGTGGGAGGCGGTGGCTCACCTCTGCACAGAGGCTCCGTGTCGTTCCAGTATGGGTCACGCACATTGACACACTCAATGACGGCCGGCCCCTGCTCCAGAGAGTGGCCGGGGTCACAGGTGAACTCCACAATGGCACCGATGTTATAGGTGGTGTCAGATGTGGTGAAGTTCCCATTTTGGATGTAGGGTTCGTAGCAGTGACCTTTCTCAAAGGCTGAGGTGGGGATAAGGAGAGAAGAAGTGGCCAGATGAGGTCAACCTGAACTTCATGAGATCCCTAAATAAGACCTTGTCCAAAAAGTAAGAAAAGTAAGAAAGAATGAATGAAGGAAGGGAGGGAAGGCATGGAGGAAGGAAAAGAAGAGAGGAAGGAAGGTAGGAAGGGAGGAAGGAGGAAGGGAGGGAGGAAGGGAGGGAGGAAGAGAGGGAGGAAGGGAGGGAGGAAGGGAGGAAGGGAGGGAGGGAGGGAGGGAGGGAGGGAGGGAGGAAGGGAGGGAGGAAGGGAGGGAGGAAGAGAGGGAGGAAGGGAGGGAGGGAGGGAGGGAGGAGAAAGGAGGGAGGGAGGAAGGAGGAAGGAGGGGATGCACTAGTTCCTAGCACAAGAGGTGCTTAGCAGGAAGTTGGCATTAATACAACTGAGGTCCCTCTTGGAAACCCTGGTCTAGTTTGGCTCTGCATCCTTCACCCTTACACCTCTACATCCCCCATCCCAGGCCCAGGTTCAGCCTACATACTCTCCCAGCTCCCAGGCTCCACCTTACAAGAAAGAGGGTCCCTCACCCTCAAAGCGGATGTTGAAGGCAGAGGCTGCCTGGCCCTGGTCGGATGTGAACTCGATATGGATGCTGCTGCCCTCGCTCAGCAGGCCCTCGAAGGGCACGCTTTCCGTTCGGAGGGAGTCGTACAGCAGGGCCGATGCGTTTGTCAGTCCACTGTAGACAATCATCCTGGCCGGAGAAAGGACAGAGGGGTTCTGACATGTCTTCTCGGGTCAGTGATACTGCGGCCAGAGGGGAGGGCTGTCTCTCGGGCTCCCCAGCAGCAGGCAGGGCAGGGTGGGCACACCCAGCGAGCGTCCTGCCCAGAGCCTGGCTTGTTGCCACAGAATATCACCTGGCCCGCGTGCAGGGTGGCGTCGTTGGGGGAACTTGAGTGAAACTGCCCCTCCTCCCATTGCTCTGCCCTGGCTGTAGAAGGAAGCTCACTCTTGATGATGCCTTGAAGACAGCCCAGCGTCTGTGCCCTCTTCCTCTGAGAGCCTCTGCTTTTTCTACCCGTCCTCACACACCCCAGTTTTATCATCCAGGAGCTCCTGTGAAACCCTCTGCAATGTTCTTGTCCCTCCTTGCTTCTGGGTACAATCTTGTCAGGGCTCTGAGTTCTTACAACTCACACACTGGGACGTTTAAGTCACCCCTCCCCAATAACACTCATTGGGCGCACGGAACTGCACAGCCAGTACCTTCAACCACTGAAGACACTGGAGGGCTAGGAGCCCTGGGGCCAGCTTGGCTTCTCTGTAGGTGTCATGGGTAACAGGCAGAGTGGGGTGTCTCTGGGTCAGTTGTCATAGTCCACACGGCTTTCAGAAAGTGCCTGTCTCTCGTATTTGTCTCTGTCTCTCTTTGTCTGTCTGTCTGTCTGTCTCTGACTCTCTCTGTGTCTCTCCTCCCCTCTGATCCAGTGCTGGAGAGAGAACTCAGACCTTGCACACACCGGGGCAAGGGCTCTACCGCTGAGCTCCATGCACAGCCCTTAGTGGGTTGAGACAATCTCACTCTGGCTCAGGCTGGCCCTGAACCTCCAACCTTCCTCCCCCGGCCTCTTGAGTGCTGGGGTTACAGATGTATGACACCACCCCTGGCTTTCTCCTTCTTATTCTTTTTTCCCCCACCTCATTCATCTCTGACAGGGTCTCTGCATGTTGTCTTTTTCTTTGTTTTCAGACAGCATCTTGCTGTGTAGCGCTGGCTAGCGGAGAACTCAACTCACAGAGAGATGGCTGCCTCTACATCCCAGTGCTGGGGTTTAAAGGTGCATACCATTTTTTTGATTTATGTGTATGTACACGTGTGTGTGCATGCATGTGTGTGCCTGCTTGCCTGTGTGTGTGTGTGTGCATGCATGTGTGTGCCTGCTTGCCTGTATGTGCATTGTGTGCATGCAGGCATTCTTGGAGGCCAGCAGAGGGCACTAGATCCCCAGAACTGAAGTTGCTGAACCCAGGCAGGTCCCCTACAAGACCAGTTAATGATCAAAACAACAGAGTGTCAATGTACCCTGGCTTTCTCATGTAATAAATGCCAGCTCTGTTTCCCTCCCGAGCCACACCCAAGAGGTAGACTGGAGAAGACTGTTTTGAAGAATGTCCAGCAGCAAGGTGTGCATGCATAGTTATGGGCCAGTCTTCCTGGGAAGGGCTGCAATCTGACACTGGCTCTGACTGCAATCTGACACTGGCTCACCCCTGGTGACACTGGAACACCCCAGCTGCTCTGCTGGAAAGCTGTGGGAGAGCCCCCCCCCCCATTTTTCACACTTCACACTGGTTGGTGATTATTTTTGACACAAACCTACTGTGCGTCAGATTCTGGAATTTCAGTGTTGGCGCACTGGACACAGCACAGATGCCAAGGTCCTAACCCTTCCCATCCCCACAGCTCTGGTTGTCCCTGAAGGCTCACCCAGCTCGTCAAAGCGGGAGGCCCAGGCTGGGGAGAGCGTGTAGCCACGGACACAGTGACCGACAGATGCTCTGGATAAATTACCGAGTCCTTCATCCTTCTAATAGGGCCACCGCGAGGTCCTGGGGCTGGAATCTCAGTTGTCCAAGGATCCGCCTGCTGATCACACATACTGCATCCCCTTCCTACAGTTTCTACGCCACCAGAGTGTGGTGGTCTGAATGTGATTGGCCCCCATAAGCTCACAAGGCCGGGGGGGGGGGGATGTTAGGGGGTGTGGCTTTGTTGGAGTAGGCGTGGCCTTGTTGGCGGAAGTGTATCACAGTGGGGGCGGGCTTTGGGGGGGTCTCCTTTGCTCAAGCTTCCCTCACTGTGACACTGAGATCACTTCCTGTTGCCTGTGCAAGATGCAGCACTCTCCAGCACTGTGTCCGCCTGCACGCTGCCACGCACCACTATGACGATGATGGACTGAACCTCTGAAGTGTAAGCGAGCCACTCCAACTAAAGTTTTCCTTTGTAAGAGTTGCTGTGGTCACGGTAACAGCAGTAGAAACCCTAAGACGGGGTAAACTCCCCTCCCCACACTTCCCTGTCCCTCACCTGTTTTCAGAACACAACCCGAGGCAGGCTCTGGTTTTCTGGAATGTTCTAGAACAAGGCTCCAGAACATTAGCCTTGAATGTGGAGTCCTCATGTTTATTTAGGGTCTGCACACACGGGCCTGGCAGAGCTGTTACCCCTCCTGCCTGCCTGCCTGCCTGCCTAGCTTACTCCAACCCAGGGTTTCTCCGCCCCTTGCTCCCTGTCTTCCCGGGAGCCAAGGCTGTCTGGGCTGTGCCTGTTCTCCGTGGAGAACATGTCTTTGTACAGGGGAGGTACAAGTCCTTATTCCACTGATGGTGAAGAGGAAGACTCGCGAGTGTGTGTATGTGTGTGTGTGCGCGTGTTCATGCACGTGTGTGCGTGTGTGTGCACGTGTTCATGCGTGTGTGTGTGTGCGCGCGTGCGTGTATGCATGTGTGCGCGTATGCGTGTGTGCGTGTGCGTGCCTGTGCGTGCGTACCACCTCTCCTAACTTCCTAGGTGGCTGGCAAGTTCCTCTCCCCTGAGTGCCTCAGTTTCCCGATGTTTCTTTCTGGGGTTCAGCCACACCCAGACTGTGTTCCCCACCCTCTCTAAGGTGGGGAGGCGTGGCCGGTATGGATGGCTCACCTGTCCTTTCCCTGAAGCAGCAGCCTTTCCAGATGCAGGTGCAGCTTCTGACCCGCTGGAGCCTCTATGGTCCACACGCAGAGCTGGCTGCCGTTGGCGTTTCCAGGGTAACTGGGGGAGAGAACTCGGCCAATGGTGGCGTTGTGCACGGCTCCTCCACACGGGGCTGGGTACAGAAAGTGAGATGTGAGGAGGGAAGAGCAGAGAGGAAGCAAGAGGCTTGGCCTCCCCTGCCTGCACCCAAGTCCTCCGGCTGGGGTGGAGCTGGGGACACAGGGGACGGGGCCTGCTGTCCTGTCAACGCCCCACCCCCATGGCTGGAGCCACCAACACCCGTGTGTTGCTAACAGGTAGGACTTCAAGGTAAAGACTGGGCCTAGGTGTCCATTAAAAAATCCACATTCATTCCACGTTCATTCACCCCACTCCGTGTGCGCATATGTTACAATGTTACAATGTCCCCGTGGAAGTCAGAGGACAGCCCACAGGAGCTGACTCCTCTACCATGGGGATCGAACTCAGGCCTTCAGGCTTGTCGGCAAGTGTGTTAACTCGCTGAACCACCTCCCTGTCAGTTATGAAATGATTCTCAAAGGCAGACGGGAGCAGTTCATGGAAGGAGAAGCATGTACTAAGGACTTAGTGCAGCAGGGCGAGAATGGAAGGAACTCGAGCTGGGTTCTGCTTTTACCCACCCAATGGCAGGCTGGAAAACATCAATAAAATCAGAGCAGTATCCTCAGGGGCATGGTCTTAACTTTTACATGGTGGGCCACTCACCAGGTGGGTTGTGACCATTTCCCGAAGGGCAACTCAGCAAAAACTCCCTTTTTAAAACTATGTCGGAACACCCTGACCCAGAAATGAGCCCTGGGAATTTATCCTGCGGGAAGCTCCGGATTTCATCTGACTTGTGACTGAGGCTGCCCAGCTCCGCCTTCATCCTCAAATTCAAAAGCAGAACTGGAGTGAATCTCCCAGCACACCCTGGGCCTCCATGGAGCTACCGAACACCGCCTTCTCAGAGACTGCTTGTGAATCTACGAGTTTGAAGAGGCAGCAAGCTGGCAGAAGGCCTGCCTGGTCCATTCCTGTGAGGGAGCTGCAGGGGTAGCTTGAGACCATCGGATATAAAAGAGATTTGTTCCCATCTTCTGTACATTTGTGTTTCTGGAATTTTCTTTTAACCGGAGCCATATAACACTTTTATGTTAAAATAATATGGCGAGGTGACCCTGCACAGTGATTTGTGGCCCACGGGAGCGGCTCAGCTGTCAGATCACAGAGGAGAGGAAGTGCAGGGACTCGACCTCAGGGGGTCACAGAGTGGGTCTGATTTAATGTGGTGTTTGGGGGAGCTGGCCCAAAGCCTCTTGGTCCAGGGTGATCCGTGCCCCTGAGGAGGAATGAGGGCATATAGGAATCTTCCGTGTCCTCCTCCAGGGTCAGAGGAGCAGAGCAGACAAGCACAATCAGGTCTCCGTCTGGAGCCGGATCAGACAGGTTATGCTATGGAGCTGCCTCTTCCATCGAGGACAAACAACACTCCTGGCTCCTCCCCGTGTCCTGGGGGTCCCTACCCAGGTGTCCCCTCTCCTCGATTCCTTTCTTTGATTTTTTTTAAAAATTTCTTTTAAAGACAGGGTCTCATGTAGTCCAGGCTGGTCTCAAATTTGCTTCGTAGGGGAAGATGACCTTAACTCCTGATTTTCCTGCCTTCCCCACCTGAGTGCTGAGATTATATGTGTGCCGGGGATTGAACCCCAGGCTTCATACAAGGTGGGTGAGCACTCAAATTAATGCCCCCAGTCACTCATTGCCATCCTCCAGGCTGGCCTCAAACTCAGAACTCAGAGATCTGCCTGCTTCTGCCTCCCCAGGGCTGGGATTAAAGAGAGGCAGGCAAAGGCATTGTCCTTCTTAAGAATCTCTCTGCAAAACACATTTCACAACAGCTTGGGCTCTTGGCTGTGAAGACAGTGGGGTCTTAGTGGACCCCAGTACCTGATAATATGGTTTATAGTCTGCGCTCAGTAAATATTAATTTCTATTTAGCTACTTCTTAAAAACTTGAGAAAGAGTCTCCATTTGTAGCCCAGACTGGTCTTGAACTGTGAATTTCCTGCCTCAGCCTCCTAAAATCTAAATTGTAGGCTTGGCTTCATGAACTATCTATTGAACAAATAACAACTATTCACTTCACAAACGGGTCAAGGAAGTTAAGAGACTTTAAGTCGCTTGCTCCAGGACACACAGCTAACAAGTAGAACCCCTGGGGTGTAGGCTGGGGTTGCTTCAAGCCATGTCTCATTCACAGTGGTCTCTGAAGCCATGGTTGGGGTGGAGGGTGGAGTGGGTACCTTGCTTTGGTTCACTTAGAACCTCAGCTCAGTTTTTGACACACAGTAGATATTTGCAGAGCGTTTGCTGAGTGACAACATGGCGGAATTGAGTTGATGGGTAGAGAAGGCTTGAGAGCCTTCCTGGGCCCTGGACTCAGCTATGTGGCAGGTGGAGAGAGCACCAGGAAGTCATCCCTCCTGAGCGCAGGATTCCCTTCCTGTTCTGTCCCAGGGACACTGTCCTCCTGTGGATCAGCCTGAGGCTCAAGCCGCCATTGTATCACACATCGGTGATGGATTTCACACAGCCAATGAAGCCCTCTGAACCTGAGGTGTGCCCATGGTGCCTGGGGTGGGGCATGATCTCACTCCTGACAGTCACTCATGAGGAACAGGCTGTTGCTTCCCATCCTGTCCTGTCATACTCTGACACGTCAGTACAGCCTTTCTTTTTTTTTTTTTTTTTTTTTTTTTTTTGGACAGGGTCTCACTATGTAACCCTGGCTGTCCTGGAACTCCCTGTATAGACCAGACTGGTCTCAAACTCACATGAATCCTCCTGCCTCTGCCTCCAGAGTGGCATTGATACATTCTGACTTCCTCAAATCTGCCAAGCCCTTTTACCTCTGGGCCGTTGCACAGGCTAGATCACTGGCTGGGACAACGTCCATCCTCTGCCTTCACTTGGCCTCCACAGCCTGGCCCCTCAGGGACTTGTTCGTGGGTCTCTGACCCACTATAACCTCTTGTCCCTGAGCCCTTTCTCTGAGGATGACAGGGTTTCTCCTCTCCTCGCTTACTCTATGACATTACCCCTATGGCCCCCCATTGTCCCCGCCCTGGCATTTGCTGGTCCCCCCATATTTGCTCATCTGCTCCCATATTGTGGTGGTTGGAATGAGAATGGTCCCATAGGCTCATATATTTGAATGTTTATTCACCAGGGAGTGGGGCTGTCTGGGAGGGGTTGGGAGGCGAGGCCTTGTTGTGGGAAGTTTGTCACTGGGGGTGGACTTTGCAGCTCTCTCTCTCTCTCTGCCTCCTGCCTGTGGATCACGATATAAAGCTCTAGGTCACTGCTCTAGTGTTATGTGCCATGCCTGTCTGCTTTCCACCATGAAGATCATGGACTAACCCTGTATGCAAGCCCCCAGTTAAATAGTTTTTCCTTCGTTCCTTCCTTCCTTCCTTCCTTCCTTCCTTCCTTTCTCCCTCCCTTCCTTCCTCCCTTCCTTCCTTCCTCCCTCCCTTTCTTTCTTTTAAAGAAGGGTTGCCTCAGTATTGGCGTTTGTTCACAGCCATAGAGCAGTAACTAAGACACATGTCCTGCGCCAATCTGCTGACTTCGAGAGAGCAGGCCCTCACAGCTCCAACCATGGGTACACAACCCAGTAAACAGTGGACACTCGTGGGTGTTGGCAGCATGACAGATTCTCCCTGGGCCAAGGATCCTTGAAGGATGACAGACCCACAGGCCAAGGATCACAGCTGTCCTTGGAATCTACGATTCCACCTGCAGGCCCACACCATCCACTTCTGTCCACCGGAGGGCACTAGACCACCTTTGTTGGTGACTGTCACCAACTTTTGAGTTCACATTGACTGAGCTCAAAAAACAAAACCAAACAGCACCAGCCACCCCCAAAGTCCTAACAACAAAAGAAACAAGGGATAAGTCAGACCTCATCATTATAAAAAAAGGTACTGTCACAGACCTTCTGAAGAGGTCAAAAGAAAACCACAGAACGGGGAGAAAGGCCTACAAATTGTATCTTGTAAAGGTTTGGATTCAGCACATGTAGAGTGCTTACAGTACAAGAAACAACCCAGTAGCCTCTTGAACAATGGGCAAAGGGTTTGAAGAGCCTTTCTTTGGAGATGGCTCAGCTGTGGAGCATATAAAAGCATTTGAAAAGACATGCTACATCAGTAGTTATGGGGCAAACATGATAACGTGGCGAGGCACCTATAGACCTACCATGCTGGTTTGAGAACACAGTGATCTGTAAGTGTTGGCAGGACAGAACGTCTGTGCCACCAGGGAGACAGTGCGGCCTCTGTGGGAAGTGTGAGCCTGTAGGGTTTCCTCTATATGACCCAACGATCATATTTAAGAGAAATGAAAACTTATTTCCTTGTTCGTAGAGAGCAGTTACTTAGACCAAAAGTGGAAATAAGCCAGGCATTGGTGGCACACACCTTTAATCCCAGCGCTTGGGAGCCAGAGGCAGGCGGATCTCTGTGAGTTCGAGGCCAGCCTGGTCTACAGAGCAAGTTCCAGGACAGGGTCCAAAGCAATACAGAGAAACTCTGTCTCAAAAAAACCAAATGAAAACAAATGGAAATAATTATAATGTCCCATGATGGACAGGCAAACAAAACAGATTATAACCCACATGGTGGAATATTACTCCACCACATAAAGGAACCACGATGCTTATGTATGCTATAGATCTTGAAAACCCTATGGTTGGTAGAAGAAGACAGACATAGAAGTTATCTGTGTCACCTGTGTGAGTCTCACAACAGAGACAGAAAGGTGGCTGCTGGGGTGTGGGCAGAGCGTTATACGTCTGGTAAAGGCTTAGCATCCAGAATGTATGAAGAAGACAACCGCAGCCACTAAGTAGATTATTGTGTGACTGCTAATGAGCAAGGTTCCCATTGGACAGGGTGGCGGTGGCACAGAGCCCCACTAATTGCTAAGTGTCCTCAGGGGCCAATTTTGTGCATCGTATTACAACACAGCTTGGCGCGTAAGAGCTTTGCCCAAGGTTACTCCAGATACCCCACAACAGCAATTCTCAACCTATGGGGTTTGATATGGGTTTTAACCCCGTTCCAGTGTGTGTGTGTGTGTGTGTGTGTGTGTGTGTGTGTGTGTGTGTGTGAGACATCAGATATTCTGCATATCAGATATTTATGTTACAACTCATAACAGCAGCAAAATCACAGTTATGAAGTTGCAATGAAAAAATTTTATGGTGGTGGTGGGGTGGCGTTCACCCGGCATGAGGAACTGTATTAAAGGGAGCATTAGGAACGTTGAGGACCGCTGCACTACAGGGTGCTGCCTCCCACCTCCCGGCTGGTGGACACTGGTGGCACCTGAGCAGACGGGCTCCCGGCTGCTCCAGTGGGGTTTGGAGGCGTTGATGCAGGTCAGAGTCTTGGCTCCCTGCAGCTCATAGCCCAGGTGACAATGGAAGTGAGCCTCCCCGCCCGAGTGCAGATCGACCACTGTGACATCTCCAGCCTCAGGACGGCGGGGAAAGTTGCAGCTCAGCATGAAGGCTGGGGGAGAAAGGAGAGACACAGATGCATCAGCTGTGACCAGGAAAGCAGTGTGTCCCACATGCAGGCAGCAGCCTTTGCTGAGAACAGAGGGACAGACGTGGACCCTGGGGAGGCACTGGGGTTGCCACCTTTATGGTTTCTCCGCTTTACTTTTGAGGTCAGGTCTTTCGCTGGCCCGGAGCGCGCTGATTTGGCTAAGCCGGCAGGCCAGCAAGTCCAGGAATTCCCGGCTCCACCTCCCACCACTGGGGTTATAAATGTGCCCCCATTTGCCATTTATGCAGGCTCTAGGGGTGGAAGCGCAGTCCTCATTCTTGTATGTCAAGCTCTTTACCGAGTCCTCTCTCTAGTTCCAAAATTCCGTTCTGTTCTGGGCTTTAAAAACCATTGCTCTCAGACAGGAGGGAGGGCTTTGTTGATTTAATCAGAGTGCCAGGGGGAGTCCCCGGCACACACACACACACACACACATGCCCAAGAGTGTGGCTGGGTGCTGGAGGAACGTGAGGCCAGCATCTCCATCCAGCTGGCCTCAGAATCCTACCCTGGTAGTGCAGCTGGAAGGTCCCAAGGCCGTCATCCTGGAAGGTCCGGAAGTAGACAGAGATGGCGTTCGTGGGGCTGCGGATCACCTGGCCCTCTACCAGGAGAGTCTGGTTGGCTAGGACTGTCAAGGTGGGGCCGTCCACCCCACGGATGGAGAGCAGCTCCCCCTCAGACAGGTTCACACTCTTCACCTGGAACACAGGTGTAGATAGGGAGAGCTGGGCAGCAGGGGTGCGGCTGGAGAGGGGGGGGTGGCGCTCCTCTGCAGACGACTGTACTGGGTAGTGAGCGGCCACTTAGGCTCAACACCCTCCCTCCCGGTAGGCTGCAGAGCGAGGGCCACTCTCATTTCTAGCTCTCCCCCGGCTTTCTCTCTCTTCCCCTGCGACGACGGCATTCCAGGGCAACCCACCCTGCCCCGGGCTCTGGCTGTGTACTTCACCACTTCACCGCATGTTTTGCAGTTGGATGGGCGGTACTGTGCACCCATGTGCACACAGGCACGCATGTGTTGTATGTGGTGCCTGCCGGTGTTTAATAGGCAGGGCAGTAAGGGACTTCCTTTATGGTAACTGTTAGTATTCGGGCATCTGTACTGGCCTGCCCTTGGGGTTCTGACAGGATTCGCCCTCAGCTGCAGCCACTAAGGGCACCGCCTGTGCACATTCACTGCGTTCCCACCTCCCACCCTTTTCTCTTTTTTTCTTTCTGTCCTTCTTTCTGTCTGTGCTCCCTTCCTCTCCCCCCTTTCCTTTCTTCTCTCTCCTGCTGCTCCTGTCCCCAGAGGCCGGGCTCCCCTCTTCCCCCCCTTTATGATCCCGTTCCCTGATAAAAACACCCTCTGCTTGAACCCTGCTGCATTGCATCTTTCTCTCTCATGATGCTTTTCTTAAATGTACAGTAGTACATCCGATGCTTTGCCAACACGCCCTCTCCATGTCCCCAGGCTCCAGTGGGAAGTCCCGCTCTATAAATCCAACTAGAATAACCCGATTTGAGGAAAGGAGATCTGTTCGGGCAACCGAGACTAGGCTACCTGCAATTCCACTCCGTAGCCAGTGTAGACCGTCACGTTGTATGTGCACTCCAGGAAGCTGCCCAGGGGCTGAGGCGGGAAATCACTGGAGTCGATGTATCCCTCGGGGTCAGTGAAGCTCACACTGCAGAGAGCTGCAGAGGAACAAACACTACCATCAGCACATCGGCAGGGTGCTGTGGGGTGGAAGCCGCCCTTAGCGGTCTGCACCCCTGGAGTAAATACAGACACGAAACCAGTGTCCATCAAGTCAGAACCCCACAGCCGTAGACTTGAGTGGGGACGGCTGTTTTGTTTTCATTGACTATTGCTGATTTCTGCCCTCTCCCAACTGAAGTTACAAACCACCAGAGGCAGCCCCATTCAGCTTTACATGGAACGGCATTGCACTCCCATTTTAAAAAACGATTTACTAAGATTTATTAATTTTATGTATGCCGTGCTCTACCTGCATGTGCACCTCCGTGCCAGAAGAGGGTGCCAGATCTCATTACAGGTGGTTGTGAGCCACCATGTGGTTGCTGGCGATCGCCCTCTGGAAGAGCTGCCAATGCTCTTACCTGCTGAGCCATCTCTCCAGCCCATTTTGGTTTCCACCTTAAAGACAGGTAGACCAAAGCACAGGGAGGAACCCATCTGGGCCAAGCTCACACAGCACACATTCAGACCCAGCTGTCAGCAGTGGTCGCGAGGTGTAAAACACTACCCCCCCCTGCACCTGGCTCTTGGTGTCAATATGAACAGCCTATGTCAGCTCAAAGGCCCCACCCTGCCGTACAAAAATCTGGTTGCTTTTCCACACTTTTGCTCTCGCCTCTGCTCCCCACCCCGGAGGGACGGAGATGGCCTTGGCAGCTTGTGCCCCGATAAACCATTCCTTCTACCCACGGAGAGGTCTAGTTCTGTGGTTGGTTTCACTGCATGCACCCCACCCACCCTTGCTTGCACAGTGAGCGGCTACGTGGATGCCTTCTTACAGCTGTGGCCCCCAAACACGAGAGCGAGCAGCGGAGCACAGGCTGGGAGAGCAGGCTCAGCAGTCCGCCCACATCACGCCCCCCTCCCCCGCCCCCAACCCCCACCATGCGCGCTCCTCTTGTCTATCATCTCCAGCGCCGCCTATAGGAGGATGTGGGAAGTGAGCATCCTGCTCCATTTAGCTGTCAATCAAACTGCCAGGGCTCCCCACTCCCCCAGACCATGATGACAAGAGGCTGTGTGACCAGCTCCCCTATGGTTTAGGAAATAAGATGAGGAAGAAGTTAGGGGCTCACAGGATTGACACAACTAAATCTTCCCACATCTTTGTATCCACGGTTGTCCGACTCCACAGAGGAGCCCAAAGACAGGAAGGGCCGCTAGCCTGGAAACGTCAGCGTGCTTTCGGTGAGGGCGTGGCTCCGTAGTAGAGCACTTGCCCAGCATGTGCCAGACCCTAGGTTCTGTTCCCGGGACACTCTTGCACACCTGCGCACATATGCACACCCCCAAAACAAAGCAAAAAGTATGCTGGAGTGGCTCGGTGCTATGGCGCCCTCCCTTCAGGTTCAGGGCGCCGCCCAATTCCACGCCCACTGTGGAAAACCCAGAAAAGAATCATAGCAGGGGTAGGGGGCGAGTGTGGCAACCTGGGGCCTGCTCCGTGGTGATGATGGTAGTGGTGATGATGGTGGACGTGGTGGTCTCCTGGCTCTCCTCGGAGGCAGACCCGGTCAGCTCGTTGTCGCTCTTATCCATCGGGCCTCCCTGGCTGCTGTCGTCTGGGGCCTGTGCGGGCTCTGGGCTGTTTGGGAGCGTGGTCACCAGCGTGGCGAAGGGCACGATCTGCAGGGGCGCAGGCGCTGTGGGCTGCTCAGGGTCCCCGGGCACATGTGGCTTTGTGGTGGCCGAGGTGGGGGACCTTAGTCTCTGTAGAGTCGTCGGGGTGCTCAGGGGCCTCAGCTGTCTCCGGGCCGAGTTCAGTTGCTTCAGGGATGGCAGGCTCTTCCTGAGGGCCGGGGTGTGCTGGACGCTGGCCTGGTCAGGGAGCGCAGGGGGCGAAGATCCCTGCAGTGTTTCCAGTGATTTCTGGGAGGGCAGGGGTCCTGGGGCTTCTGATGTCACCCCCTCATCCAGGTTGCTCTCCAGAGAGGCAGAGGGCAGGAAGTAGGCTGTGGAAGGGTGCATGTCTCCCTCTGGAGCACCGTCTGGGGAGGAGGGAAGAAAAATATTGCCATTAGCTTCAGGCTGCCTCACCTCCGTGACAGTGGCATCTAAGGGTGACAGTCCAGACTGGACAGGGGGCCATTGGTCCACCGACTTCCTTTCCTTCCTCTCTTTACTTCCTTTGTTCCTCTCTCTTGAAGAGTTGGGGTCCCACTAAAGGTTAAGGCTACAGAAGCCAAGGGCACCAGCCTCATGGTGGGGAGGGTGCTGCTTGCCAAGCAGGAACCCTATAGTAGGAGACACACAGTTCGGAGGCGGATTCATGAGGGATATGTGAACACAGGCAGAGGCCTGGTGCTGGGGATGAGTGTCCCCCCCCCACCAGGGAGCCCGGGGGAGGAGTCTAGGTCCAGAGCAGGCAAGAGTGGGAGGTTTGTGGACCTCGCCGTTCTGTGACTTGTTTCTACTTTGAAAGTAAAACATGGCCCTTGACTTACAGTGGAATTATGTCATAATAAACCGATTGCAAGCTGAAGGCGCATAGAGTATGCTAAACCCACACAGCTTCATAGCGTAACAACCACGCATCCTGGACCGAGTGCCCTTTGGTCATTTCGTTAACCCACAACACATGACCAGTGTTCTTCTGCCTGTGGTTCCCAGTGTCACCAGAGAAGGTGACACACTGGCGTCCAGGACAAGATCTGAGCTCCATCAAAGGGTGTGGCTGAAGGGGTATGGCTTTGGCAACATCATTGGTTTAAAAATTAGCACTTTGCGCTGCTGTCGAACACCTTTGGTCTAAGCAAACGGGAGGCAGAGGCAGGTCGATCTCTGTGAGTTCAAGGCCAGCCTGGCCTATGGAGCAAGTTCTGGGACAGCCTCCAAAGCTACTCAGAGAAACCCTGTCTCGAAAAACAAACAACAACCAAAAAAGCACTCCATCTTTCTGTTGACAGAGGAATAAAGTGTGGGCGCTGTCTACAATGAACAGCGGAAGAAGACAGCAGGTTTCAGTGTTTGTAGAGAGAGCTTGGATTTCAGTTTGTTGGATTTCAGTTTTCCCCTTTAAGGATACAAACTTTAGAGTTAAATGACCTTCAAACTTACTTATGGAGCTAAAGATGACATAGGTCTCCTGATCTTCCTGCCTCCACTCTGTCAGGCTAAGATTCCAAGTGTGTGTGACCATGCCCGGTTTTAGGTGGTGTCAAGACTGAAACCCAGGGCCTCATGCATGCTAGGTAAATTACTCACTGAGCCACATCCCCGCCCCCAAACTTGTAAGTTTCCAGTGATGACTCGGTCTTGTGTGACCTTGCACATCGAGGAGTCCCCAGCTCCCAGAGACTCAGCTTGTTCCCCTATCAAATGAGTTTAGTTATGGCGGATGTGCCGGTTAAACGGAAGCGCCCATTCAGCGTGCCTGGCACCATACCCGGCAGAGGAGAAAAGAATCATGTGGAAGGAGAGGGCGTTGGGGATTCTGAGAGAGAAGATGACGTGTTTCACGCAGAAGTGGGACAAAGCACACAGGCGTGATGGTTATTTTCCCCGTCGCTGTGGCCAGCGAGAAGTTGCTTAGGGGCGAAGGGCTGGTTTTGGTTCACTGGCGAGGGCTCTGCCCACCACAGTGAGAAGGCGTGGCGATGAAGCTGGCTGAGGAGTGGAGTGTGTGAGGGCTTCTGGTTCACACCTGGGGGGGTGGGGGAGGGGAGGGAGAGACGCAGCTCTCAGCATGCTTCTCCCCTTTCCCCCTTGCATTCCAGCCCAGGACCCCAGTCAGTCAACCCTGCAGACGCCATGGACGGTGCTGCTCACTGCTTGTTTCTCATGGCTTGCCCTGTCTGATCTCCTATAGAACCCAGGGCCACCAGCCCAGGGATGGCCCCACCCACAGTGTGCTGGGCCCTCCCCCATCAATACTAATTAAGAAAATGCCCTACAGGCTTCCCTACAGCTGAGCATATGGAGACATTTTTTTATTTTCTTTTTCCAGTCCATGTTCCCTCCTTCCAGATGACTGGATCTTGTGTCAAGTTGGCCTGAAACCAGCCAGGACCGCAAATCTTAAATTGGAAAACTCTAAGCCCCGGCACATGTGCAGTTTCTTCAACGAAGGGCTGGGCCAGCCGCTGCCCAGCAGAGCCACGGAAACCAACTTTATTTCATCCCTAGATGGTGTCAGCCGCAGCTTCCTCCCCCCAGAGTCCCGGTCTGCTCAGCGGTCCAGTGGGGCGGCTCTCTGCTGCTCACTGGAGCTGTCATCCCCCAGCAAGCTGATGTGCGAGGGCTGTTAGCTCTCTGTCCCAGCCAGTTCTTAGCAGGTGCCAGCTGCCGCCACCTCTCCTCATGGAGACCAAAGCATCTCCATCTGTGGGAAGCCAGAGAGGCATGAGCAACCCTAGCAAAGATCTTGAGAGATTCCCTCCCGTGGACAGAGGTCCTTGTCCATTTCCTGCAGACAGACACTGGCTGAGCCACAGTCTGTGGCCCGTCAGGAGCTGCTGTCTGAATTGGTTTGAGCAACAGCTGGAATGTCTGGTTTACTTTCATGGAGCTGGTGCACAGGTGTGATCTCCGTGGACCCCAACAGTTACTGCTGGCAGCAACCCACGTACCTGTTGGGTGACGCTGACCGTCAGCCAGCATTCCTCCAAGAACATCTGGGAGTGGGAATCGTGGAGGACGGGGTGGGTGTGGGTGACAAGAGAAAAGATCAAGGTCATCTGGGAGTTTAACATGGATTCCTGGTCCAGAGCTGAGACTTCAGAGACCTGGGTTCAGGGCCTGCCACCTGCAGTTGCCTCCCCCGATCCCCGTACTGGGGAAGCCGGCACATTCACCTTTCTACAGCTCAGATCCCTCTATAAAGAACGGGCTCTTCCCAATCAGGGGTATAGGCGTGCTCAAAGCTGTGGTCCAGCACTCACCAAGGCTGTTACCTTGTGATTGGTGACTGTCTTTGTAGATGCTTGACTGAGAAAGAGGTCATGGGATTTATTCAGAGGAGGTGGCAGGTCAGGGAGCCCAGTCTGGGAGACCCAGCTGGAGTTGGATGTGCTGTGCGGAGTTTGGCTGTGAGCAGAGCTCCTTTGTGGGCCGTGCCCGCTGGCATAAATGCTTTGTCTCCTTGTCTCTCTCTACAGGTCAAGTGTGCAGCCAGGCAGGATGAAGTCAGGGCTGCCAGCTCCTACACCTCGGGGATGGGAGCGGTAAGTCTCTGTCTGTCTGTCTGGATGACTGTGCAGAGTCAGGCAATGTGACTGATGAACGCCATACTGACCGATGAGCTGATGGGTGCAAGGGCCGGCTCGGCTAGCTCTCCATAAACATATCCTGTCCTAATCACAGGGAGGATGGGAGGGATGGGGAGGAGGAGGGGTGAGGGGAGGAGGGTGAGGAGGGAGAGGAAGAGGGGTGAAGGGTGAGGGGAGCACCTCTAAGTGTGGTTGCAGGGGTAGGAAGTGGGTTTCACCCCTTGGCCACAGCGGCAGTGGCGGGCAGGCCTTTTACTGTGCCGGTGGCGGGGCGGGCATGCGTGGTGTGCTGCTGTTATCTGTTGCTCAGTCTCCCTCCTTGTAGGCATCGTTAGGGAGTGCGTTCTATTCCCGTCCCTTAGAGATGCAGACAGATCGGGGACACACACAGCAAGTTCAGGGTCTAGGTTTACCTGGACTCAAAGAGTCTGCTGTTCACCGTTTCCTCCCTCCTTACCCCAAATCTATCACTGTCATTCAACATGGCCTAGACATTCACCACGTGGCTTCAAACCCCAGGCAGGTCTCCCAGCTCCATCTTCCTTGAGGAAGTGGGCACCACGTCATCTGGTGCCATCCCCACATTCACTGTGGTCTTCTGGGAGTTATCCCTCTTTTTAAACCTTCCCCAAGAAAATCCTACCCTCTACCCAACTTCACAGCTACCAGATCTGAGGTTATAGGAGTGGATCTCAGGAAGCTGAGGATTAAAAACAAAACAAACCCCTGTTGGTGAGTGGGAAAAAAAAAAACAAGAAAAAACAAAACCATCAACACAGATCACTTGTAGGCATTTACAGCTGTGAATTTAATGGCCAGTTTAAAACAACCCAGAATCCCTGGGTAGAGTCCCCATGAGGGATTGTCTCCATTGGGCTAGCCCATGGGCACACAGGTGAGGAGTTGTCTTCAATAATTTAACCGATATGGGGAAACCCACCAGCCCCTTTCCCTAGTTTCCCTAGGCAGGAGGACCTGGAATGTTAATGGGAGACAGCATTCTGAGCACAAGCAAGCAATCAATCAGCGTGCTGTCATTGGCTCTGATATCACAGCCACCTCAACTTCCTGCAGAGATGGACTGTGGAATGCTGACCCTAAATAACCCCTTTATCCTCTAAGTTGCTCCCCCCCACCCCTGCACAAGGTATTTTAATCACAGCAACAGAAACGAAACAGAGAAACTGGCCACCGTGTGATAATTTGCTACTGTGCCCATCATGACACCAGACATTAGCACTTCTGTCTTCTTATGTAACCCGGGGTGACGCTGAATTCCTGCTCCTCTTACCTCCACCTCCCAAAAGCTGCTAGGCCTGGGGACTGAACCTGGGGCTTTGTACATGCTATTGGAGCTGTTACCGATGGAGCTGTAGGCCCAGCCCAAACCTGATCATTTCCATGCACTGGGACTCTTTGGATTCTCTCTCTCTCTCAAAAAAATATTCTCAATTATGTGCATATGTGTGTCTCTCTCTGTGTGTATGTGCATGTTAGTGCAATGCCGGAGCAAGCCACAAGAGGGCACTGGATCCTCAGGAGCTGGAGTCACAGGCAGTTGTGAGCTACTCAACATGGGTGCTGGGAGCTGAACTCTGCAAGAGCGGCGAGCTCTCCTGACACTGAGTGTCTCCAGACCCTGGCCTCTCTCCTCAAGCTGCTTTGAAATGTGTTTTACGTTGTTGCAGGATGCAGAGCCCCTACTGTCCTCCCAAACACCATCATCGAGGCCCCTGCCTACCCACATTTCTCTCCATCCTCGTCCTCCATAGCCCAC